TTGAAGATGTATCATGGGGGTGTTGCAACCTAGAAGACACAAATTTGACTAACAAGTTATAAGTACATGAGTCCAAAAATTATGGATAAGTAAAAGAAAAGATTCTTTCAATGAAGGAGAAATTATTGACAAGGCCGTCAAGAGCCAAGAGTTCAGTGGTAATTCATGTGTTGATAAAGACATTGAACTAAGATAATGACAGTGAGGAACCAATGATAGGGAATCAATCCATTCTAAAGATAAGTAATTTGGTGATCGATTGATAAGCAAATGAACCAAGGATGGTAAAGGGCAAAGAGCCAAGTGGGATTCTAAGATGCCGATAGAGATGAGGAAGGCAAGAAGAGACGCTTAGGAAGAGATTCTAAGAGAAACCTTATTATGACTTCACATAGCACAACTCACATTTTTAACTTAGATCATACATTTCAGGTAAGTCTAGCAATTTTATCTTTACAGTTAAGGTTAATTTATTTAAAAACAAAATTCTGACTTTAACTAGAAAGCAGGGATCACATTTCAAATGGACAACCATCTTCCCAACCTTGTCAATCTTAATGAGGATCCTCAGCTGTCAGAGATGTTGCTGTACATGATAAAAGAAGGAAGAACCACAGTTGGAAAGTATAAACCCAACTCTAGCCATGATATTCAGTTATCTGGAGTGCTGATTGCTGATGATCATTGGTAAGTTAGTCTTCTTAAATAAGACACCTGTTCACTTTCCAGTAGTCTTAATGCCTTGATAACACGTGGATAAGGAGCAAAATGCTATGACTTTTCATCTTAGCCTTACCTATGCTAGAAACATCATTCATTAGGAAACAGCTGAAAGAATTTTATGGAACCCTAACATGTTGCTTTCCTTCATATTTTATTTGGGAAAGAGACTTATTAAATAAATGGAATGATCTTCATTCATAATTGTTTTACGTGTTGATCTGGCATCACTATACTCTGTACAGAAAATAGCTGAATATAATAAAATTTATGTCTCCTTGAAAAAAACTCAAAAAACCTCCCTGTGGATATGTTCACATGAGGCTTTAGTTTATACTAATTCTTTTACAGAATTCTTCAAACTCTTTAACCTGGTCTAACAGGCATACTCAGTGTTTATAGGAGCTATATAGGTCAGTTACTCTCAATATAAAACATAATCTTCTATTTTTTTCTTGGTCTTGATCTGTTATTGGTTGAGAGAAAACTTCTTAGAATTATAATTCTGTGCATAAAACAAGCTTCTAGCATGTTAATGAAATTTTTTGTTGGTTTGCCAGATTTAGAAACTTTGTTTCAATGACCTTTACATGAATGAAATGATAATAAATGTGTTGGTGGGATGGTAGTGCATATAATTTATATTGTCTCTATTGTTAACAAGATTAATCCTCATGATGCTCTTACGTTTTCATTACTGAGGCATTCTAGTCTAATATGTGAACTTATCTATAATAACAGTTTATTGATTTTATTGTTAGACATTTTGGGTTCCATGTAGAACTCAAGAAATACATTTTCAACATTTGGAAATATGTTTCTTCTTTCTGATGTGCCCTAGTCTTAATTACTTTAGCTTTATAATAAATCTTTATATCCAGTACAGAACATCCTTTTGTTTCTCAGATCTCTTTGCTCTTCTGATAACTGTTTTCTGTGACACAAATAAGGTATTATTGCCATCAGTGGCAAAGGTACAGAACAAGCTTCCAAAGAGTTGAGAATCTATTAAAGGATGAGAAAGCCCTCACTTGGCTTTCTGTTTATCATTTATTACATTCATCAGCTCCTAGTCTGGAGGGAGTTACATTGTTCTCCTTAAGGCTGTTCCTCTCGGTGGTTGAACTCCACGAGCTGCTGCTTGGGGGAAAGCAGTCATCTCCTGTGAACTCTGTAGCCTCAGAAACCCAGTGGAGGGTCAGCTATAACTTAGCCCTGACCTTACGGCAATGAGAGGTTTGAGATATATTTGAGTAGAAGGTGGAATTCCTGTGAGAAAATAGTGGTGAATAAGGGAGGTTACTCATTGAAGCCAGATTGTGAAGGTTCCAGAGTGGTAGACAAAGGAATTTCAGTAGGAAAGTAAATAGAACTAAAGGGAAGATTTTTTTTCAGGTAAATAACTCTTTACCTGGTTAAAATACTAGATTGGTGGGAGAAATGGACTATGAAGGTGAGCTATTCTTTTCTCTAAATGATTTAATTAAACTATTATTCTTTAAGCACATTTTAGAACCCAATTTTCAGAGCTTATTTGGTTGGATCTCAGCGTTTTCTTCTATTTTCTTCTTTCTCTGGAGTTTCTTTCCTGATCTTTGGATATAAATCGGTGAAAGTGTAGCATTCATAACTGAACCTCTGGTCAGAGTTCAGTTAAGTTAGATGATGGAGTAAAACTTTATCCCTTTTCTTCCTCTGAATTTCCCATTTCTCATGAGAAAAAAAAAAAAGGTTGTTGTTTCTTTCATTATTGAAGCTTGTATATAAAACCAGAAACACAGAAAAGGAAAAATGTGAAATTGTTCCATTCTTGGGTAACTACTGCTAATATTTTAATAACATTATCCCTTGGAACTTTTCTGTGTCTTCTTTTTTCTTTTTTCTTTTTTTCGTTTTGGGTGGACAAGGGTAGATATTAAAAAGTGATTGTAGTCACACTATATAGAAAAGAATTGCCACAAAGCAAAATACATAGATGCAATAGAATTTAATACAAAATGCAATAGAATTAGAGGGGCTAGCCTTTTTTCCCCCTCTAAAACTTCAGAATCTAGTTAGAACAAAGTAAAAAAAAAATTATTTTATAACAAATTGACCTGAATTATAATACCAAAGAAATAATCTTAACAGGATTGTCCTGTGTTGTCTGCTTCATATTTTTGATGTGTCCTCCAATAAATAATGTGTTTCTTTTTTTCTTTTTTAAATAATGTGTTTCTTATCTTTACAGTACTATCAACAATTTTGATGGGACAGTGAGTGTTAACCCAGTTAGAGAAGCAAAGACTTATGTAAATGGAAAACTTATCTTGGAACCCACCGTATTACATCATGTAAGTTCACCAGAGTGTAAAGAAATTGTTTGACCTTGAACAAGTCACTTAATTTCATTGAGTCCCATAAGGAAGTTAAATTAGATTAAGGATTTTCCTAGTTTTAAAATTGTTTGTTTTTTCCTAATACATACTACTTCCTTTATTCAAAGACAAAAGTTTTTCTCTGTCTTGCTTTCAAATTATTCTTTTGAACTGGTACCTGATGAGCAGATCATTGATGACAACAGTATGTATCCAGTAAAGAACTAGGTTTTAGATTCGGGACAGAAAGAGTTGAAACCTTGCTCTGCCATTTGCCATCTGTATGATCCTTAGCAAGAAGCTCTGGTGATGCAGTGGTTAAATGTTCCTTTACCATCTGTGGTTTCAAGGGAGAAAAGACTTTGCCATTTACTCCCTTAAAAGATTATAACCAGGAAACCCTATGGAGTGGTTCTACCATGCCCTGTAAAGTCACTCCATATTGAAATAGTCCTTGACAGCATACAACAAGAAGAACATGACCATTAGCAATTTATTTAAGTAGGATGACTGTATAAACACTGCCCAAACTAGAATGCTTTTGATTACAAAAGCATTTGAAAGAATTTATAATAATTACATCAGGAAAAGCAATCATAAACCAAACTGTCATGGACAGACTGAGGTTTGTGGAGTTTTTGTGCATGTATTTATATAGAAATATTATATATTATTAATTTTATTATTAATAATAATTGTTGTTGTTAAATGCCGTCAAGTCGTAGATGACTCATAGTGACCCTATGAACGAAAGACTTGAATACTTGTATAACTTTCATCCTTTCTCCAGGTTCATAGAGTTTCTGGAGGCAAGCTATTCTGGAAGTGGATACCATTCCTGCTTCTAAGCTTGTTTTAATCAGGAAGCTCCAACAAACACTGTCCACCATGGGTCACCATTCTTGCGTTTGACACATCAGTGTCACAGTGTTGAGCATCACAGCAACCACGAGTTACCTCTGTACAACAATGCACAGACCAGTGCTATACCACTTAGAAGAATGTTAGACCAAAAACAATTAAAACCAGGCCTGAGGGCCGCAGATTAAAATCACTCACCTTTGGCTTGCAATAGATCATATGTGTGTGTGTGTGTGTGTGTGTGTGTGTGTGTGTACACATGTTCTAGTGGTTTAGTAGTAATGAATTGTGCTGCCAACCCACAGTCCCATAGCTCACATCTGCCAGCTGCTCCAAGGGAGAGAGATGGCTATTCTCCTCTTGTGTGATTAAAGCTTTTGAAAACCTTCTGGAGGGTCAGCTATGAGTTGGTTCCAACTCAACAGAACATAATGACAACATCAGCATGTATATATTGACTGTACGTTTCAGTTTGCCCATGACAGGCTGGCATGTGATTGTTTCCTGATGTGATTATGCAAAATTCTTTCAAAGGCGTTCTACTTTGGGCAATATTAAATAGAGGGAGCCCTGATGACCTAGTCTGTAGGGAGTTGTGCAGCTAACCTAAAGGTGGCACTCGTTTACCAGTTCGAATCAGCCATGGCAATAATCCAGAGTTCACATGTTTATATGTATTTAACAGTGATAGGGAGGGGTAGGGCTCTACCTTTCCAGCTTGCTGAGAGGATCAAAGGAGATATTAAGTCATATGTAGCTTTTAGCACAGTACCTACAAATACTAAGCTCTCAAGATTGTGTCATTGTTACTATTAAACTCTGCTCTATTTACCTGTTTCTAAAAAGTAGAATAATGGTATGAATCTCATTGAGTTCTTTAGAGACATAATGAAGAAACAATGTACTTATTGTACAGGACTTGGCCTACAGAAAGTACTTAAATGTTACTATAAATCTTTTTATATTTATCATTAGTAATACTAGACTTCATAGAATTATTGGACATAACCATTTATCGCATTTTATTTAAACTCACTTTAATGAATAAATTTTTTATTATTGATATGCTTTAGGGTGACCGGGTGATTCTTGGAGGAGATCATTATTTTAGATTCAATCATCCAGTGGAAGTCCAGAAAGGCAAGAGACCATCCTGTCGAGATACTTTTATAAGTGAGGGTCCAAAAGACTTTGAATATGCAAAGAATGAGTTGCTCATGGCACAGAGATCACAGTAAGTATTAATGTTGCTGTGAAATAGTAAGTGTATATGAGAGGCCGGTAAGAGGGAGTTCATCACATTGCACTGGATTCCAGGACTTCATTCTTTGGGTGTTTGTTATAATCAAATCCCTTTCCTTGGTACAGTAGATGTTGTAAGTAATGATCAGGCAGTTTTACAAGTGCCTGGTAGGTGTTTTTTTCTCAATTTTTACCTCTCTCCATTTCATTATTTATTTACGTCTATCCTTTTCATTCTTTAAGTAATGAACCTAAGCCCACTACTGTGGAGTCTCAATCCTGAGGTGTGACAACTTTCAATTAGATTTTTGAGGTTATAAGTGTTTCAGGAGGAGAATGCCCATCTTTCTCTGAGAGTACCTGTAGTAGCAGTACAGCCTGGAAAACACTGTGCCACAGGTACACCTCCTATAAATCCTTTCAAAACTCATCCTTTAGTGAGATCCATCTTACTGCTGACCCTCCGGTCAGTTTTCAGTGGCTATAACTTGTATATAACTTTTATATTGCCCATCTTTCTCCCACAGCAGCTGATCACTACTGGATTCAAACCACCTGTCTTTAGGGTGGCAGCACAATTCCTTAACCGCTAGAACACTGTAACTCCTCATAGTCTCCCCTGAAAACAAACCGATTGCCATTGAGTTGATACAAATTCATAAGGACTCTAAAGAATAGAGTGAAACTACTTGATAGACTTTCCAAAGTAGCGATCTTTATAGAAAACAGACTACCACTTCTTTTCTCCCTCAGAGAGGCTGGCAAGTTTGTGCTTAACCACTGTGCCTCTAGGCGATGAATTCTTACTAATTGTAGTAGTATTCAAACAACAGACCCTGTCAAAATAACTAGGACATTTCTCATAGTCCAGCTGACTGTAAGAGTTAACAATACAAATATGTTCTTCATATTTAGGGACGAGGGGAAGAAATGTATTTACTTAAATATCAAGTATCTACATTAGTAACTAAGTTAGAAGCAAGCAACTCCTCATTGCTTTATATTTTTTATTCAGTGGTAAATATATAAAAGGGAGCTTTCTGGTGGTATAGTTAGAAAGGATTTGCACTGTTAACTCAAAGGTGGTTTGTAGACAATAGCTATGGGAAAGAGAAGTTACAGAAGTGTCTGAGAGGGACACACAATTTAATCCATAGGGAATGCACTATTTTTCCTTTTGCCCTAGTTTTAGCTCATGGAGTATTTTACAATTTCTGGCTTTTATCATTTCTGTAAAGTACAAATAAAAATAGTACTAAAGAGACGAGGTTTTATCTTAAAGGATGTGGGAGTCATTAAGCAAGTTTAAGGAGACAGATAGGAGCTGCATCCTATTTTTAGCAAGACCACCAAGACCTATGACTGGAGAATGGATCAGGAGTAGAGCAAGGTTAGAGACTTCCAAACAAATTAAGAGGCTGTAGAAGTAAATTATTTATAATTTATGAATTGTAACTTTTAATAGTGTCCAGTGGCTGGAGAAATTTAAAGAGTGTTCAGGTGATAAAATGAGCAAGGCTTGATGACGCAGTGTTAAGAGGCAGCAAGTTTGACCAGTGTGGCTGGACTAACTGCTTTGTCACCTTTTAGAATCCTAAACCTGTTTTGCCCTCTTTGTTTTGGCGTACTTACTGGTTTCTCTAGGAAAATTGGGAATGGAAACATCTACAAAATGTAGTTGCTGAAACATTGAGTTTATTGGGAGGAAAATGTTTTCATTTTCTGAAATCGTTATATATGTAACCTATTATGAGGGGACAAATCTGGTTTAATGTTTTGACTTAATCTGTTCATAGTTCAAACTCCTCAGCCTCACTGCAGGTGAAAGATGTGATGGTCTATTTCCATAAAGATTATCACCTTGGAGACCTTAGGGGACAATTCGACTACGTCCTCTAGGCTTCCTGGGAGTAGGAATTGACTTGATAAGAATGAATTTGTGGGTGTTTTGGTGTGTTTTTTTTTTTTAAATATCCAACAGTCTTACAGTTAATATACATTTGGAAGAGTATCTATATGTTGTGATGAGTGGAACTATCTTGACCACAGACCTGGCAATTATTTTGCCCTTTTATAGACTTGAAGCAGAAATAGAAGAAGCACGGTTGAAAGCAAAGGAAGAAATGATGCAAGGGATCCAAATTGCAAAAGAAATGGCACAGCAAGAGCTTTCATCTCAGAAATATGCATATGAAAGCAAAATAAAAGCACTGGAAGCAGAATTGGTAAAAGGCAGAATTGATTTATTCTTTCAGTGATGGTGTACCCAATTAATGTGTTGCTAGCTGTAAATTATGTCCCTGAAAAGGAACTAACTGGTTGTGTATTAACCATTAGGGAGTGAAGTTCACAATGAGTTTGGGTCTGATTTTACTTTGGAAACCAAGTGGTTCATAGATAGATAATAACTATTGGAAGTTATAGATGTTTCTGTCCTCTGGACAGGTAACTCAGCCCATGGTTTACCAGTAGTCTTCTGTTCTCAGCAGCCCCTTTGGGAGATATCATCCTAAAATATTTGATTAGTGATATGTGTTTAATTAAACTGCTATAGCATAAGAAGCTCTTGGCAAGTTTCTCATAAGTCAGTTTCTGGTGTATTGAATTATACCCCTCAATAATAGTTATGCTTATCAAATATTGATTAAAAAAGGATGTTTGTATTTTAGGGTACCATTTTGATAAATGCTTTGCTTTTTTTGCCCGAGTTTTCTCTTATGTTGTTCTAAAGGAAGAAGAATGCCAAAGGAAGAAAATGCAGGAAATAAATAACCAAAAGGCTAATCACAAAATCGAGGAATTAGAAAAAGCAAAACAGCACCTGGAACAGGAAATATATGTGAACAAAAAGCGATTAGAGATGGAGACTTTAGCTACAAAACAGGTAATTTCATTCAGTAGGTAGTTTGCTCAATTCTTAGTAGAAACTGGATTTTTAAATTCTTTCATTTGCAACTTTATGTACATTGACAGGAAATAGCCATATCCAAGTCTCCAGTTGAGAAGGTGTTCTCTTCTCTAAAAGCTTGTCTCGTCTTCTGGGTACTGCTCATAGATCTATTCCCTACAAAATATCATAAAAAAAAAATCATCATGCAGACATTTTGAAAGGACCTACTAATTCCAGTTTGTACCATTCCATACTGTTTTCTTTTTTATAGGAAATATCCTATGGTCATGCCAAGACTCATAGCTATTGAGTTAGAATCAACTCATAGATGATCCTTCAGGTTTCTGGAGGCTGTGAAAAGCATGGAAGGAGATAGACTATCTTTCTGGCTGGTGGATTCAAACCTCCAGAAAGGCAGTGCCCTCGGTTATCAGTGTAACTCCCTTTGCGCCAGCCACGAGGGTTCCCTGGTTAGTCATGCCAGATCATTTAAAGGAGTGAAATAACACAGGAGCAACATATGAAAGAAACAGCACAACCTTTATACCAGGTCCCAGCCAAAATGAAGCATTTTCTACTTGTGGGAAAAGAGGAACAAGCAGGCGGTTTCCTAAGGAATTCACGTAACCTTGTTCTCTCGGTTGACTGAGGTTAGAGGCATCTTTTAGGGACAGACTCATATTATCCAAGTTTTCAAGACCAAAGAATAAAACCAGAAATATCAACATATGAATACCTTTGGTCGCTTTACTACCAACTTTTAGGCCATTCTTTCTCTTGATGAGTGGTTCTCAAAAGTGTGAGCGCTAGTTAAGCAGCATCAACATAACCTGGAAACTAGCAAGAAATGAAAACTCTCAGCCTCTAATCTCAACCTGGTGAATCAGAAACTCTGGGAGTGGAGCCCATAATCCACCCTGGGTGGTTTCGTTGAGTATTCAAGTCTGAGAACCACAGCTCTTAGCTGCATTTGGAATTTTTATATCTCAAGGCTTAACTCAGCAATTTTATTTCTTTTTCCTAAATTTAGAGATTGATGTGTGGAAAAAAACTGTTACCCCAAACACTATACTAAGTATTACCCCAATACATGCTGTTGTTGTGTGCTGTCCAGCTGGAACCAACTCATAGCTGACCCTTCAGTGGGTTCAGAGTCAATAAATTGCACACAAGGGGATTGTTCATCTGTCTGCTGTGGAACAGCTGGTGAATTTGAACTGTACCTTTATTGATACATAGTGACAGTGTATTTATAAGCTAACTCTAGGATACAAACTTGTTAGTGAACTACTTAAAAAAATTTAGTAGAAAAAACTGTTGTATTACTTAACTCTTAAAAGAAAGGTATAAGACTTATTTGCATCAAACATTTTTGACTTTTAAAATTTGACTTCTTAGTAACTATTCCTGACTGTGGAGTTTTGGAACAGTTTTCTTGTTTTATTTTGTTCAGTTTTTTTACTACTAAGGAGAAGAAAAAGGCTAATAAAAAATTTCTAACTTTGTAATAGGCAATCAGTTCTTTTAAAAGAAATCTTACAAATTACTAAAAATTATTGGTGTTTAATAAGACATACTATAAAAAAATTTAATTATAATTGTACCAGTATCAATCTGGTTTTTTTCTTTGCATATTCTCATATATGGTTCTATATCAATTAGGCCTTGGAAGATCACAGCATCCGTCATGCAAGAATTTTAGAAGCTTTAGAAGCTGAAAAGCAAAAAATTGCTAAAGAAGTACAGATTTTAGAGCAAAATCGGAATAATAGGAATAAAACATTTACAGGTAAATGTAATTATTTCAGCTGTTACTTGCCAATATTATATATGTTGTTTTATGTACTGTACTTACTAAGATGTTCGAATTTAGTTGTTTTTGTATACATGTAAAATGCTTTAATCTAAATGTTGCTAAATAAAAGTAACATTTTTGTGACTATTTATGATATTTTGTTTTTAAAACATATTGTTGTGTGCTGTCAAGTAGGAACCAATCCATAGCTGACCCTCCAGTGGGTTTTCAGAGTCAATTAATTGCAGGGGAAGAGATTGCCCATCCTTATCCCGTGGAGCAGCTGATGGATTCACACCATGTGACTTTGGGATTGCAGCCCAATTTCTTGCCATTAGGCCACCAGAGCTCCCTTTTTAGAACATAAGCAAAATAGTAAATAAAATTCCAAGCATTATTTTAACATATAACATGTTTTATAATTGTGATACATTATGACAACTCTTATTTTGTTTATGTTGTTGTTGTTGTATATGCCACGGAATCAGAACCAACCCATAGTTGACTCTCCAGTGGGTTTTGAGAGGCAATTTATTGCAAAGGAGGAGATTACCCATCTTTTTTGTGGAGCAGCTGGGGGATTTGAGTCTTTGGGTTGCAGCGCAGCTGCTTACCACTAGGCCACTAAAGTTCCCTATTTTATATGTTGTTGTTATGTGCCATTGAATCACCTGTGACTCAAAGCAAACCTATGTAAAACAGCTCTGAAGCCTGCCCTACCCTGTGCTAGTCTTACTAACTAACACTCCTACCCCCATTACCCAGTCCTCTCATCCGGGGCCTTCCTCTCCTGCACTGTCCCTCCACCCTTCCAAGCATGATGTCCAAGGATCAGTCCCTCCTGGGAGTCCTCCCTTTGGTGCCCAAAGTATGTGAGATGAAGCTTCAAAATCCTACCCTGCAAGGAGAAAACAAACTGGTTTCACCCTCTCCAGGATAGACATGTTTGTTCTCTTGGCGGTCCATGGTATGTTCAACACTCTTCTGCAGGACCATGACTCAATATTCTTCTGTCATCCTTAGCCATTGTCCAGCTCTCTGATGCATAGCAAGTAATTGTGAAGACCGTGGCATAGATTGTACTTATTCATTGAGTAGTCTGTTTCATTTTAGACTTAGACTTTAAAAAAAAAGTTCTTCATGTTTCCATGCAGACCACAGCATGTTTTAAGTATAAACCTTCTCCCCTTCCCCTATTCCCTTATGGACAATCTCACACAAACTGCTAAAGTAGAGAATTTGAGTTAAAAAAAATCCTTGCATATATATTATTTAACTTCAATGGTTATTGGTGCATGTTGAATCTTGTTTCAGTTTTATCAACCACTGGACTTCCTGAACCATTCTAAAGAAAATCCTAGATTGTGTGTCTTCACTGTCTATCTTTAGTTTAAATAAGGACTATCTGTCTTTCTCACTCTTTTTAGCATAACCACTATTATTATCACATATGAGCAGCTGGTGGATTTGATCCATCTGCCTTTGGGTTGGCAGCACAACTCTTCTCCACTAAGCCACCAGAACCATTCTGAAGGAAATCCCAGATTGTATATCTTCATTGTATATCTAATTTAGATGAAGACTGTCTTATCTTTCTTTTTCCACTCCGATAAGCATAACCACTATTATTACTTCTTCTTGTTGTTATTTGCTGTTGACTCGCCTGCGACTCATAGCGATCCTATGTACAACAGCCCTAATCCTGCTCTATCATGTGCCAGTCTTATTGTCTCTGACACATCTATCCCCATTACCTCAGTCACTGAATCAATCCTTCCCATCGAGGGTCTTCCTCTCCTGCGCTGTCCCTCCACCCTCCCAAGCATGTCCCTTTCCAAGGACTGGTCCCTCCTGGCAACATGTCCAAAATATGTCAAACAAAGCTTCATAATGCTTGCCTCCAAGGAGCAGCTCAGTTTAACCCTCTCCAGGAAGAACCTGTTTGTTTTCTTAGCAGTCCATGGTATATGCGATACTCATCTCCAGCACCACAGCTCAAAGGCATCAATTCTCCTTCTATCATCCCTAGACATTGTCTAGCTCTCTTATGCATAGCAAGTGATTTCAAAGACCATGGCCTGGATCAGGTGTACCTTAGTCTCTAGACTGAAATCCTTATTATTACTGTTGTTATTGTTATGTGCCATCGAGTCACTTGCGACTCATAGCGACCCTATGTACAACAGCCCTAAACCCTGCTCTATCCTGTGCCAATCGCACTGCCTCTGACACACCCATCCTGATTTACCCCAGTCACCGAATCAATCCACCTCATAGAGGGCCTTCCCCTCCTGTACTGTCCCTCCACCCTCCCAAGCATGATGTCCCTCTCTAAGGACCTGTCCCTCCTTACAACATCTGAAAATATTAATGATTTCTTAAATCATTCATGTTGGATCTGCTGGTAATCTGTAGGGAGTTGCACTACTAACCAAAAGGCAGCGTCTGTCTGGCAGTGTGAATCCACTTGTGGCCCTTGGGGATAAAGATGGGCAGTCTCCTCCTGTTCAGATTACAACCTCTGAAACTACATGGGAGAGTTAGCAAAGAGTTGGTTCTGACTTGATGGCAATGAGAGTTTGAGATACTCATGAAATATCTATTCCATATTTACATCTCAGTTATTCTGTAAATATGTTACTACATTTGGTTTATTTAGTCCACACATGGCATTTTATATCACCGAAGCCTCTCTTAATGTGTACCTTCTTTTTCTCTTTCCTTCCCCACCTTCCCTCCTGTTTTACCCTGTCATAAGGATCCTTCCCCTTCTCTTGTCTTCCCGTCTACTTGTCATTTATTTGTGGAAGAATACCCCCAATTCTGGATTTTACTTATTGTATCTCTGCAGTGTTCCTCAATAGACTCCTTTGTTCATGAGTCCCCAATTAAACAATAATTGGATCCGCAGGCCTATCAGATTCAGCCTTAATATTTTAGCAAGGATAGTTTGTTGTTGTTATGTGCCATTGAGTTGCCTGCGACTTATAGTGACCCTCTGCATATCAGCTCTGAAGCCTTCCCTATCCTGAGCCAATCTCATCTGCAACAGACCTAATCCCATTTCTCCAGTCACTGAGTCAATCCATCTTATCTTGGGTCTTCCTCTCCTATGCTGTTCCTCTACCCTTCCAAGCATGATATCTCTCTCCAAGGACTGATCCCTCCTGGCCCTGTGTCCAAAATATGTGAGATGGAGCCTCAGAATCCTTGTCTCCAGGGAGCAGCCTGGTTTCACCCTCTCCATGACAGACCTGTTTGTTCTCCTGGCAGTCCATGGTATATTCAACACTCTTCAACACCACAGCTCAAAGGCATCAATTCTTCTATCATTCTTAGTCATTGTTCAGCCTTCTAGTACACTGCAAGTACCATGGCTTTCTTCAGGCACAACTTGTTCTCCAGCCTGATATCTTGAGTACTTTGGAGAGGTCCCTGACAGCATACTTTCCCAGTGCAATTTGTCTTTTGATTTCCTGACTGCTAGTGCCAAAAGTGTTGATTGTGCCAACAAGCAAGCTGAAGTTAGCAACCTCAATTTTTTCTTTGTCATGAAGCTGCTGCTAGGCCTACAGTAGTGACAAGCTTTGTTTTCTTGATGGTGAGCCTCAATCCATATTGAAGACTAAAGTCCTTGACCTTCTGCAGCAAACACCTTATGTCCTCTTCAGTTTCACCAAGCAAAGTTGTGTCATCTGCATAATGCATGTTGTTGAGAAAACTTCTTTCAGTCCTGATGCCACATTCCTCCTCATAGAGTCCAGCCTCCCAAATTATCTGCATATAGATTGAAAAGGCATAGAGATAAGATGCATCCTTGATGCACACATTTCCTAATTCAGAAACATGCAGTATTTCCCTGCTGTGTTCTAACTACTGCTTCCTATTCCAGGGATAGGTTTTGCATGAGCACATTTAAGTGTTCTGGTATTCCCATCCTTCTCAAGGTTAGCCAGAATTTGTTGTGATCTACACAGTCAAATTCCTTTGCATAGTCAGTGAAATACTGGTATTCCTCTGATACTCTCTGCTTTTGGCCAAGAGCCATCTAACTTTGACTGTGATGTCCCTTGTGCCCCGTCCTCTTCTACGTCCAGCCTGTATGTTTGGTAATTCGCTGCTGATGTGATTTTGCAGTTGTTTCTGGATAATCTTCAGCAGAATCTTGCTTGCATGTGATGTTGCTGATATCTTTCAATAATTTCCACACTCTGTTGGGTCACCGTGTTTTGAAATGGGAATAAACACAGATCTCTTCTATTAAGTTGGCCAGGTACTCGTCCTCCAGATTTTTTGGCATAACCCGGTGAGGACATTCAGGGTGGCATCTGTTTGTTCAAATATGTCAGTTGATATTCCAATTTGGAAATTATGCACTTAGTGATAGAAATGAGGCTGGAGACAGAATGACAGAATTCTACACAATCAATAACCTATTCTCTACAAACACCTTTTATAAGAAACATAAATGGCAACTGTACACATGGACTTTACCTGATGGTCTACACAGGAATCAGATTGACTACATCTGTGGGGAAAAAAAAATCATTGGATAAGCTCACAATCAGCTGTGAAAATGAGGCCTGGTGCTGATTGTGGAACAGACCATCAACTACTTATATGCAAGTTCAAACAGAAGCTAAAAAATCAAATTCGTAAGAACTAAAGTTTGACCTCAAGTCTGTCCCACCAGAATTTAAAGACCATCTCAGGAACAGGTTTGAAGCCTTGAGCACTAATGAGCAAAAACTAGATGAGCTGTGGGAGGATATCAAGAGTGTCATTAATGAAAAATGCAAAAAGTCACTGCACAGAGGAGAAAGAAAAGACCGAGATGGATGTCAGAAAAGACTGAATATTGCACTACAATGCTGAGAAGCCAAAGCAAAGGAAAGAAATCAAGATGTTAAGAAGCCGAACAGAATTTCAAAAAGCAGCATGGGAAGACAAAGGAAGTATTATAATGACATGTGCAAGGAGCTGGAGTCAGAAAATCAAAAGGGATGAACTCATCATTTCTTAAGCTGTAGGAACTGAAGAACAAATTTAAGCCCCCAGTTGTAACACTTAAAGATGCTGAAGGCAAAATGTTGAATGACCCAGGGCATCAAAAGAAGATGGAAGGGAGTATACAGAGGAACCATACCAAAAAGAACTGGCTGACACAGAAGAAATTCATGAGACAACATATGATCAAGAGCCTATGGTAATGAAGGAGGATTTTCAAGCTTCACAGAAGGAATTGGCAAAAACAAGGCCCCAGGAATTGATAATACCAATTGACATATTTCAGCAAGGAGAGTAGTATGAATAATATTTATATTTGATTAAAGAGGTAAGTTGTATTAATACACCTTTTTATTCCTGTTTGGGCCTGGGATGCAGTGCCTTGCAATAAATCTTTGCTTTTTTAATGTATGTGAAGGTGAGCTTTATGCTTCTGAAAAAGTGAGGGGTTTTGTTTTTTCTTTTAATTGGCATTCTGGGTATAAGTGTGACTGAATAAAACAGAAACTATTTATGATAAAATATTAATCCCAAATTAGGAAAAATGAAATTATAGACTAAATAGTTCACTTTTCACTTTTTGCAAAATTCATATGTAAGTTTAAAATTAAGGGAAATAAATGGTGATCCTATATAGTATATAGTATACTTTACCTCATAGTTTAAAGGAATTAGGAATAAGGAACTAACAAAACTGGAAACTACAAAAAAAGAAAACTTTACAAGAAATTAGAAAGAAAAACGTTGTCTTTATTGTTTCCTTTCTTACTAAATCTTTTATTCTTTCAGTATAAATAGTTGGACTTCCCCTCCCCCATTTTACCACAAGTGAAATCCTCAGTTTATATGAAGAATATTTTATTTCACCAATAATGTTTGAAGAAGTTACATAAGAAGCACTTTTTTCTTTCTGCAAAATATTAAAACTGTTCATGTAAACTTATTATTTGTTTTTGTCACTTGTTCAGCCTAGAGAAATATGTTCGTGCTCATAAATGTATTTTGAATCTTCTCTGTGTTAGTTCAGCCAAATTGGAGCTCCATGAAACTCTCAGTGATGATTCAGGAAGCCAATGCCATCAGCAACAAATTAAGAAAATACTTTGTTTTTGGCAGGTGGGTAATTATTATATTAATTGTAAAGTACTATTTGGTTTAAACTATTTTCATATATTTTTAAAGAATTAGTTTCACTAATGTCAAAGTCCTCTAATAATGCTTGGCTGCAAAAAGGCAAGGGTCAACTTCTAAGGAAATATTAAAGCTACTTCTTCAAAGCTTATTCTAGAGTAAAAATAGCTTTCAACAGTTAACATACTAACATACTTTATAAACAAAATCATTTCAAATGTTTTGAAAACTTTATAGTTTTCTAAAATCTGGTCGAACCTCTGAAACAATGACCTTTAGTCTTCCTTTGAACATGGAGTAAAACTCACCCCTGTGCCTCAGCTTTCAGCTGAGCAATAAACTGACCCCGAGGCGAACAGTAACACCAAGGGGGCAACTATTTCTGAGAATAGTCAGCCACTTACACTCAAAAAGGATGAAGTTCAGAAAGGTGCTCTAGTGGTGTAGTCTGTAGTATGTTGCACTGATAACCAGAAGGCAGTGTCTTCAGAGGTTCGAATCATCCAGCTGCTCCATGAGAGGAAGATCAACATTCACCTCCCATTAAGATTTACAGCTTCAGAAACCCAAGGAAGGGTTGCTATGAGTCACAGTTGACTCGATGACAGTGAGAATGAGTGACTCTTCAGAAGACAAGAAGAGGGAAGACAGAAGAATTAATGGAAATAAGAATCATAGGGAATGGGAAGAGTATAGTTGAGCTTCATAATTTATTTCATGAAACAAAGTTTGGCTAAGTGGTTGAATGGAAAACTATTTTGCTTTGTAAACTGTTTTGAATCATAATAAGAAAACCTTCGTTTTCCTGATGAGTTGAAAATTTGTTTATATTTTCCTTTTTAAAAATTAATAAAAATGACTGGATACTTTTAAATTTAATTTGTGTGTGTGTGTGCAATAAAGAAGTTATATTAAGTGGGTTCTAAAGTACAATTTGGAAGCTGTGGTTGCCTACAAGGTAAAGAGTTGCTCTGCCAATCCAAAGCAGGCAGTCCAAATCCCCTAACTGCTCCATAGCAGAAAAATGGGAAATCTCCTCCCATGCAGTTTACAGCCACTGATAATCTGTTAGAGGGTCAGCTTTGAGTTGGTTCTGACTGTACGGCACATGACAACAGTGAAGACTGATACTTGCTAGTTCCTTCTAAGTTGGTTCTGATTCCTGGTGATCTCAGGAGTATAGTATTGAATTACTTCTTAGTGTTTTCAAGGCCATGACCTTTAGGAAGCAAATCTCAAGAGGCACTGCTGGATGGATTGGAACTAGTAACTTTCCAGCTTGTGGTCAAGTGCTTAATGGTTTGAGACACCCAAGAACTCCTTAGCATGATTTTTACTATATTCAAACTATTCGTCTATGTAAAAATTTAATCATGAGATGGAATTTTTGTTGAAGTTATTCTAATCTAAAAAATACTTAGTATATAAATGTGTATTTTTGTTTTAAGATGAGCCTTTTTCTTCTTTCAGGCATGACATAGCAGATAAAGGAAGTCCTGAAACTTCCGTTCAAGTTCAAGTTCGTAACCTACAACTAGGGATTTCAACGTTGTGGAGTCTGGAGAAGTTTGAGTCTAAGCTTGCAGCAATGAAAGAACTTTATGAGGTTTGACCTTTTATTGGCACTTATCAAAGTTCCTAGTTTTTGGAGGCATGTTGTTTAGGAAGTGGATGCCACTTCTGTTTCCAATAAGATCCTATAAAATATATAAAGATGACATTTCCATTAAATTTTTTAAAGAACATATAATAATTTTCACACTACTGAAAACGATAAATATTAACAATTATGTGTGTTGCCTTTAGTCTTACATGAAAGAGGCTTTATGAATTTGTTTTAACAAATTAGTTATAAGTGTATTAGAGAAACTTAGAATGTTAGCAAATTATTAGAGAAACTTATTTGATTATATATTTTTAGTGTACATTTATATGTAGGATTTAAAAAATCCAATAAAGCAGTTTACATCATTTGAAATTAAATTCCTTTGACTACTGATGTGTGTTTTTACATTTGCACTGTTTCATTTTTGTGTCAGGTAGAAGTTATTGTGGTGTTAATAACAAGTTATCCTTAAAACATTCATTAGATAGCAAATGATTTCTTATTATATTACTCTTTGTTAACTGTCACATTATTTTTAAGCAGTGTTACTCAGTATGGAATTTTGCACAATTTAGAGATGAACAGTAATGAAAATAATAGTAAGAACAGGATGCTACTAAATGATTAATGCTTGAATTGTCTTAATAAGAAATAAAAGAATGTAACGTTCCACACAATCTAGAAGAATAAAGCAAGTGACGAAACTATTAGCTGTGCTAAGAAAAAAATTAGCTGCGTGTGCCACTTATCTGCACACTGCATATCCAGTCAATTAACTAAATACCTGCCTTAAAAATTTCTTAGTGTGTCCTGGACTGGTCTCTTGCCTAGAGCAGGTTTCTTGCCTGGCATCCCCTACCCTGCAACTGGAGGCGCCTGGCCCAGCCACCTGGACGCCTGAACCTACTGTCTGAAGGACCTTACCCTGCTGCCTGGACACTCCTGCTGCCTGGATGCTCCCGCCCACCTTCTGGAAGCCTGGAACTGGCCTTCTGTCAGGAAGTCTCAGCCCTGCTGCCTGGACACTCCGCCTGCTGACTGGAAGTCCTTATCGCACCACCTGGAAATCCTGGCCTCGCCACCTGGAGCACCTGGCTCTACCATCTGGACTTTCTTACCCCAGTGCCTGGAGGATGACCCACTGCTGCTCCTGTGAACTGTGCCAGAGTCAGCAGTATCACAGGTGAACCCATTTCATTTCCTCTTCCCTCCCAAACCATGAGTTGCCTTTAGCCTGGAGCACCTTGGACTGGCCTAGTTGCAGCAGTTGTCTCACAGAGCGGGCTGCTAATTCGCAGGCCTTATCTCTCCTGAACTGAATCAAGTCTTCCCTTGAGTCAAAAGTTCAGAGAGAAACTCAGGCAGGGTAGCTGCACCACCCTCCTCTGGAGCAATGACATCAGACCAAGAGCCTGCTATCGCCTCAGGTGTGAAAAACTCTACCACAGCAATGTCACATAAGAAGCTGGCTACCTCACACCCTACATAGAACCAAAGCAAGATGTCAGCAGCCCCCCACCCCCAAATGATACAAAATCAGTGGATTTCCTGAAGCCAGAATATCTGATGGAACTTTTTTTTTATGGAACTTTCTGACACAAAATTTAAAAGAATAACAATTAAATATTTTCAATGGGTGAAAGACAAACTTGAAGAATTACAGGACATGACAAACAAAAACCAAGAGGAACTTAAAAAAAAACAAAAAAACCCCCAACAGATAAAACAAACAAGGCTCTGGAAAAATAAGAAACCACAGTTCAGAATATGAGGACCAATGTTTCAGTGCTGTCAAGATGTTGGAGGGACATATGAACAGAGTTGAAGAGATGAACACAGAACCAGTGAAATAGAAGATGGATTGTCACCTCTGATCTGCTAGATCAAAAAGGAAGGGAAAAGAAGAAAGCCTAAGAATGATGTGGACACCATCAAGAGGAATATAATGCACATAATTGGAATCCCAGAATAGGAAGAAGTAAGTAAAGGCAATGAGAAAATTGTGGAATAATTGCCAGCAGAAAACTTTTCAGGCATAAATGATAGTGCTGCAAAATATAAAAAAACAAACATTAACAAAACTGAAGAAGGAAATAGACAACACCACTATAGTAGTTGGAGATTTCAATACACCACTCTGCAAAAGATCAAGGACTGAAGCTCAACATCAAGAAAACAAAGATTCTAACCACTGGGCCAGTTGGCAGCATCAGTATGGATGGTGAAGAGATTGAGATAGTTAACAATTTTAATTTACTTGGCTCCACAGTCAACACTCTTGGTAACAGCAGCCAGCAAATCAAGAGACGAATTGCATTGGGAAAATCAGCTGTGAGGGACCTCTCAAGAGTACTGAAGAGCAACAATGTCAGACTGGAGACTAAGGTGCGCCTGATCCAGGCTGTAGTCTTTGCAAGACATGCTTTGCATCAGAGAATTGGACAGTGAATACGGTTGATAGAAAAAGAATTGATGCCTCTGAGCTGTGGTGCTGGAGAAGAGTGTTGAATATACCATGGACGGCTGGGAGAACAAACAGGTTTGTCCTGGAGAGGGTGAAGCCAGAATGTTCCCTGGAGGCAAGGATTCTGAAGCTTCGTCTGACATATTTTGGGCATGTTGCAAGGAGGGACTGGTCCTTGGAGAGGGACATCATGTTTGGCAGAGTAGAGGGGCGGCGAAGGAGAGGAAGACCTTTGATGAGATGCATTGATTCTTTGACTGGAGAGGTGGGAATAAGTGCATTTGAGATGGCTAGGTTGGCACAGGATAGAAAAGTGTATAGAGCTCTTGTACATAGGGTCGCTGAGTCGCAAATGACTCGGTGGCACATAACAACAACAACAACTCTCAAACCCCCCCAAAAAAAACCAAAACAAAACTACCAACCAGAAAAAAATTCAACAAAGATGCTGAAGAATTAAACCACACAATAAACCAAATCAATATATATATATACACACATACATACTACTAATGCACCCACAGTATACCATTTTCTCCAGTGTATATGGAACATTCTCCAGAATATGTCATGTTTCACATTTTAGGTCACAAGGCAAGCATCAATAAATAAAAAAACATAGAAATAATACAAAACATCTCAGACCACAATGCTACCAAATTAGAAATTAATAACAAGAGGATAAAGGAGAAAAACCAAACATTTGGAAGCTGAACAACTTGCTTGAGCATAGTGGGTAATAGAAGAAATAAAAAAAGAAATTAAAAAGCTCCTTGAAACAAATTACAGTGAAAATACAACTTACCAAAACCTCTGGGAAACAGCCGATGCAGTAATCAGAGGTCAATGTATAGCAATAAACAAACATATGAAAAGGCAAGAAAAAAAAATTGACACTCTAACCCAATATCTCAAACAATTGAAAAAGAACATCAAGAAAACCCGACACCCTCTAATAAAATTGAAATTATAAAAATTAGGTCAGAAATAAATGAAATAGGAAACCGAAAAACAATTGAAACTAGAAACAAAACTGGGAGTTGGTTCTTCAAAAAGGTCAATAAAATCAACAAACCACCAATAAAACTAACAAAGGAAAAGAGAGAAAAGACACAAATAATCTGAATAAGAGATCAAATGGGCAATTTCCCAACAGAACCAACTAAAATAAAAAAGGTTACCAATGCAAGATCATGAAAAATTATACTCAAAGAAATATGAAAACCTAGAGGAAATGGACAAAACTTAGAAACTCACAACCTACCTGAACTCCTTAGAAAGACAAACAAGGTAGGAGGCATCTCACTCCCTGATTTCAAATCCTACTACACTGCTGAGGTGGTGAAGAGAGCGTGGTACAATCACAGATACATAGATCAGTGGAATAGAATTGGGAACCCAGAAATCAACCCATCTACCTATGGTCAACTGATTTTTGACAAGGAGATGAAATCAATGAAGTGGGAAAACGACAGCCTTTTTAACAAATGGTGTTGTCAGAATTGGAAAATTATCTGCAGAAAACTCAGGCAAGATCCACACTTTACACCATACACAAAAACCAACTCAAAGTGGATAAAGGACCTGGGACTAAAACCAAGGACTATAAACTTCATTAGAGAAAAGCCTAAAAGAACTCTAGAAGCCCTAATCCACAATGTGAACAGTCTTCCAAGCATCCTGAAAAACCTAAAACCAGCAGAGGATAAAGTAGATGAATGAGACCTTTTAAGAATTAAATCCCTATTCACTTCAAAAAAACTTCTCCAACAGGGTAAAAAAGGAAAGCCACAGACTGAGAAAAAATATTTGGTAATGACATGTCTGATAAGGGATGGCTCGTAACAAAAAGAAGCAGCACCATCATCATTATGATTGTTTTTTTATTTTATCAGGAATGCAGTTGGTTTATACTTTTATCAAACAGCTTGTTCTTTTGTATTTTAAATGTAACTGTATTCTGATTTTTCCCCCCTTTGTGTCTGTTTCTTTATTCATAATTATTTTGTTTTTCTTAGAGTAATAGTAACAAGGGTGAAGATATCTTTTGTGATCCTGAAGATGAATGGGAACCTGACATTACAACTGCTCCAGTTTCTTCTTTTTCTAAGAGGAGGTAAAGATATTTTTGTTCCTGTTTTTTTTATATTGTGGTTTCCATATATATTATTTCCTTATTTTTAAAGAACTATCTATTATTGTGATAGATGTGTCTGTGAAGGAAACCCAGAAATGTCAGAGGAACAGTATGTTACTGATCAAATTACAGTATTTAGGGCATTACATTGTTTATCAGTCAGAGGAGGAACAAAACGTCCAGTATTTCATCATGTAAATCTTTGTGAGCAACTTAAAAGAACATAAATCTTATTTTCTATAAAAATGAACAGTATTCATTATTTTTAAATTACCCTTCCTCAGGAACTTGGCATATTTTCTGATATTTTATCCCAAGTTACAGAATTTTAAATATAGTCCATGTTAGATGAGCACCACAGAAGAATAAATCATGGTGATAGAAAACTTCTAAATATGACAAATGTTGCTTGTTAACAAAAAACATAAAAGACTTCCAGCAAGTAGATGCTTTTCAAGGAAAAACTAGTTTGACTCAGGCCTGAGACACTTAGATTATAGGCAAACTACTGTAATGGAAAAAGCTAGGTGGTTGAAACCAATTCAGCCCTTTAATTTGATTTTTAAAATAATACTTTGAGGACTGCTACCATATCCTGATGACACACAGCTGAATTAAAAAAATACTCCTTCTCCTCAAGGCCCAAGAATTGAAAAGGTCTGATAGAAAAACTAGAGAGAAGAGTGAGGTCTTATACATATTTAAAAGGATTTAGAATTTTATGAAGAAGAATGTGGCATCAGGATTGGAAGACTTATCAACAACTTGCATTATTATTCAGATGACGCAACTTTGCTTGCTGAAAGTGAAGAGGATAAAAAAATACTTGCTGCAAAAGATCAAGAACTACAGCCTTTGGTATGGATTGCATCTTAACATCAAGAAAACATAGGTCCTCACTACGGGACCAATAGCAATATGATAGATGGAGATAGTACTGAAGCTGTATATGATTTCATTTAGATTGGAACAACAATCAGTACCTTTGGTACCAGCAGGTAGAAAATCAAGAGATGTATTATTGCATTGGGCAGATATGCAGTCAGGGACCTCCTCAAAATGCTGAAGAGCAGTAATGTCAGTTTGAATACTAAAGTGCACATGATTCAGGCCGTAGTCTTCTCAATCACCTACTTACTATGCATCAAAGAACTGGACAATGAATAATGACAGAAGAATTGATGCCTTTGAGTTGTGGTGTTGGAAAAGAAGACTGAATGTCCCATGGACTGCCAAGAGAACAAACAGATATGTCCTGGAAAAAGTACAGCTAGAGTACCCCTTGAAAGCAAAGTTGGCGATGCTTTGTTTTTCATCCTTTGGACATGTAGGTAGGCAAGGTTATTCCTTGGAATAGGAAATGCTTGGAAAGTTGTAGGGTCAGCAAAGGAGAGGAAGATCTCCAATGAGGTGGATTGATGGTGACTTCAGCAAAGGGCTCTATTTTGTCAGAGATGATGAAGATGGCACAGGATAGAGCAGGGGTCAGGTCAGCTGTTCGTAGGGTTGTTGTGATTCATACTTGACTTGATAACACCCAGCAAGAACAATAGAAGTCACTGGTTACCAGGTTGAGAAGAAGGGGTCAAGGATGATACCTAGTTTGAGCAACTGACTAGAAGAATTGTTGTTTCTTGAGATGGAAAGTCAAGTGAGTTTGGTTTTGAAATAGTTTGAGGGGCCCAGAGGACATCTAGGTGGCTATTCAGTTCTATAAAGTATAATTGAGAATTTTTAGAGTATATGTATCAATGATATTAATGCATCAACAAAACATCGTCATCTAGAAACATCTACCAAGTGTTTCATAAGCATGATTTCATTTAGTCCTCACCCTACACTTATTAGGGTGTTCTGGTGGCCTAGTGGTAAGAGGCTGCGCTACAATCCTAAAGGCACACAGTTTAAATGCACCAGCTGCTCTGTGGGAGAAGGATAGGCAATCTCCTCGCACTGGAGGGTCAGTTATGGGTCAGTTCTGACTTGATGATACCCAACGACAACAACATACACCTATTGGAATAGGTACCAGTGCCATAATTTTATAAATGAAGAACCAGAAGATTTAAGAGGCTGAAGTTAGAATTTGGATAAGAAAGATCTAGTAATTTAACATCTGCTTTTCTTTATTGATTAGTGATACTGCCTCCTTTGCATATGAAAGAATAGCATCTTCCAGTTTAAATTAGTTTGATTCTTTGACTTTTGGGTTTTATTGCACTACAACACCTTCAGCTAGTGACAGCTGCAAAATCCCTTTAGATTTCCAAACCTTTTTAATCCTCTCTCACTGTTTTTGTCAATATTTATATTTAACTCATTTATATAATTTTCCCAAAGAGATACCAGTACTCCATAGCAGCCTTTCACTATTTTGTTTTCTGGATGCTAACTACAATACCATGGTTGTTGTTGTTATTGTTTACCATCAAGTCAGAACCAACCCATAGCTGACACTCCATCGGGTTTTCAGAGGCAGTTAATCCCACAGGAGGAGATTGCCCATCCTTCTGCAGAGCAGCTGGTGGATTCGAATTGTATGTCTTCGGGATTGCAGCACAGCTTCTTGCCAAATCATTAGTCTTAGTTACACAGTAACAGAATTCATCAACAAAAGGGTGACTTTCATAAGCAAATGTATTCCCTCTCAGTTTAGGAGGCTTGAAGTCTAATTTGGAGTGCAGGATGTAAGAGAAGGAGTTTTCTTTGCTGGTTCTAGAGGAAGATCCATGTTTCTTTCTGCATATGTAGGCTGGCTTTCCTTGGGGATCTGTACGATTTGGCCTTCTCCTGTGTTGAGAAGTGTCCCAGCACATGGTTCTTGGCTCAAAGGACTTGCTCTCCTCATGTCTCTTCTGTCTTGATGCTAGTGAGTCTCTCTCCCAGCCCCCACCACAACCTCATTCTTTGCTTTGTTCAATTCACTTTTCCTTTTATCTTTCATAAGACAAACGATGATGTAGGTCACACTCCAGGGAAACTTCCCTTGCGTCTGAGCAGGACTGTGATGTGATTAGGAGGGCTCTAATATAAACTCAGTATGTTCATGGCAAGTGACAGCTCTTGGTGTCACTATTTTCCATAGGTAAAATGGAAATTCTAATATATACTTACTCTGCAGGGTTTCTCATGAAGATTAAATGAGTTCATGTAGTTACTGCTCTTTCTACTTCTAAAACCAGTAGGTTAGTGTCCCTCAAGAATACACATGTATCAGGGAGCTCTGGTGGCCTAGTGGCAAGAAGCTGCACTGTAATCCCAAAGGTGTGTGGTTCGAAACCAACACATGCTCTGCTGGAGAAGGAGGGGCAAACTCCTCCTGTGCCAGTAGGATCCAGTTCGATGGTACACCTAAATAAGTAAATAAATAAAAATTTAAAAATAAAAAAAGAATACACACATATTGATACAGAGCATACTTGTTTTATTGTGCTTCATTTTATTCCACTTTGGATATACAAAGTTTTCTTACAATTTGGAGATTTTGTGGCAGTCCTGTGTCAGACAAATAAGTTTTGCAACAACATGTGCTCATTTTGTATTTCTGTATCATATTTTTATAATTCTCACAATATTGCAGATTTTCCACAGTAATATTGCATACATCACAGACTACAGTGTAGTGTTGATAGAATTTTCATATGTACTGGGAAAACAAAAAGTATATGTGGCTCACTTTATTGTGATAAATATACAGGTATCCAAAAGAGACACAAACCCACTGTCATTGAGTCACTTGTGACTGAATATCAGCCCCATAAGACAGAGTAGAACTGTTTGAAGATAAAGTATCCAAGGCTGTCATTCTTTACAGAAGCAGATTGCCACATCTCTCTCCACAGGTTTGATATGCTGGACTTTCCATGAGTAACTGAGTTTTTAAACCACTCTGTCACTAGAGTGCTTTCTCTTTCTCTCTCTCCAATTTGAAATGGTTTTTAATAGATGCATAAAATAGGTAACTGGTTCTGATCCTTTCAGAAACAATAGTTGTCATAGCAGGAGCAGCTGCTGCTTTATATACATATATAAAAATTAATATTTATATATAGACCCATTGACTTACTTTAAGAAATTGGTTCATGTAATTTTGAAGCTGTAAAGTCCAAAATCCGGACTTCCAAGATCTGTATATCAAATGAAGCAATGATTTAAAACAAAACAAAACAACAACAAAAACGCAGAACTTATCACTGGAACTAACTCATAGCAGACCCTCCAGCAGGTTTTCAGAGGTTGTCATTCACATAAGAGGAGATTGCCCATCTTTCTCCCACATAGCACCTGGTAGATTTGAACTGCCTGCCTTTGGGTTTACAGCGGAGCTCCTTCTTAAGCCACCAAGCTCCCTAAATGGTGATTTGGGGTGGAATTAGATGGCTAAGGTTTGCAATATTTAAGCCAATATAAAACAAAAACAAGTCCACTGCTCTCAAGTTAATTCTGACTCAGCAACACTGTTGATAGAGAAGCACTGCTCCATTGAGATTCTGAAAATCTTTACAGAAGCAGACTGCCTCTCTTTCTCCTATTCAGCTGCTAGTGAATTTGAACAACTGTCCCTTTGATTAGCATCCCAACACTTAAATCTCCCAAAAGTGAAAACCAGGTGTAGAAATCCATCAAATTCCTTTAGATTTTAGAATTACTAGTTCCTTATTGTTTTTATTACAAACAGAAACTTTGTGTAATTAGAATAGTGACTCATAATATAAGTATTAGTACTTAATAAGCATTAAGACTCTATCCTATTGAATGGTGGTAATTCACAACTTAATTTCCCCCAACTTTCAGGGAATCCACTAAAAATGGAAAATATTACATAAAAAAATTTAAAACTTCTTTTTACTATTTCCTAAGATGTTAAAATTACATGTTTCATTTGGTAGAGATATTTTGAGAACTTCTATAATTTAATAGTATCATATTTTTAAAAAATAGTGAATTGCTCTCTGGCAAAGACCTTGTGTATGAAGTTTCAGCCTTGTAAGAATGTTTATGACAGAATTGAAAACTCTGAGAGTGTCGGCAGGTAATGGAAGCACTGACAGACTTAATTATAGAACTGCTCCTAGGCAGTAATATGCCACACTTGTTCTGCAGTACATAGACTGGTTTGGCCATCCATAAATTTTGATATGTAACCCTGACAGTTAAAAGTAAATTTTCACCTGAGGTTAAGTAAAACTCTTTGAAAGGTTCTGACAACATTTTCTTCATTTGAGTTTAAATCCTGTTTAATAGTGCCGAAATAATAAGTTTTCCTAGAGTTATTATTGTACCCTTCCTTTCATCCAGAAGCAAAAAAACTATGATCTTTGTGAATTTTTACTTCCCTTCCTTATCAGTCATATTTCAGTGTTTTTCTTGTAGAAATTCAAGGGGGAAACTACATTTGAAGCACTTAGGCTATTATATATAGGATATTTTTAAGGAATCTTTTTGGGAAATATTCTTTTTCTTTAAGAGGCCAGTAGCAGTAGAGTGATCTGTTAGGAACAAGATTTCAGAAGATTCACTAGATTTATATATGAATCTTGATAATTGATTGAATAGTTTCCATAGCATAATGGAGCCTGGAATTGGATTTTTTTTTTGTTGTTGGAGTCATTTTGTCCATTTTATTGAAGATCTGGAATTGGATTTTTAAAAACTAATAAATGAGTCGAACTGGGGGTGGGGGTGGGGGTGGGGAGAAAAGTGCAACAATGAATGAATGGAATTCCAAAATCTCTGTAGATGTTCATTGAAATTAATAATAATAAGAAAAAATTTAAAAAAACCCAAAAACTGATAAATGAATTGCAGTGTGGAATTGGATTGTTTTTTCGGAGGAACAGGAAGAGTGGGCTGCTTTTTCCAGATGTCATTAGAAACAAAGTAGTGCCACGGCCAGTCACACTCAAGGGAAGGGTCGGAGGCCTGCAGCTAACCAGAAGGTCAGTTGTTCGTTCCCATTTGTGGGAGAAAGATAGGACCATCTGCTTCTGGAAAGATTTACACCCTTAGAGTCCCTGTGAGTGATTCTACTCCATCCTCCAGGGTTACTGTGAGTTGGAATTGCCTCAGAGGCAGCAGGTTATTATAGGCAGAGACAAAGCAGGCAGCAGATGATTGGAGACTGAAGGTAGCATCATTCCCTGCCTGTGCACTGCTACTACGACACCTCACAGTTAAACTTTGTGTGCTGTGTGGCATATATGATGGAAACATTTGCTTGGAAACACATACAGGTATGCTTATTTTTTGTGTGTGAATTCTTAAATATTCTTAATAATGTTATTTAACATGGTAGATAACTACCGATCTTATGATTTCTGTTTCTAGAAGCAGAAGTCTGATGAAGAATAGAAGAATTTCTGGTTGTTTACAAGACATACAGGTCCATCCAGTTCCGATTTTGAATTCATCACATTCATCAGGTATTTCTTCCTTCATCAAACAGATTTTGCTCTGTGACTTTTATTTCATCTCCTAAAAGTTTTCTTTTCCTCTATAAAACAAAGGCTATGGGTGTCTTGCTTCATCTCTTCCTCTTCTAAATATCTATGCTGTCATTTATTTAGTGAAAGAAACTGTAGTACAGTCACACAATGGAAGATTAAAGATCACTGCAAGGTGACCATGAACTTGTGAAAATACTGCAGAACATACATGAATCTCGAACAAATTATGCTGAGTGACATAAGGTAGTCATAAAAGGACATTATACACACCCATGTTTATTGCGGCTTTGTTCACAATAGCAAGGAGTTGGAAACAACCCAAATGCCCATCATCAAACAAATGGATAGAGAAGCTGTGGTATATTCACACAATGGAATACTATGCTGCATTGAAAAACAAGGAACTCATGCAATATTTTTCCAAATGGGCGACCCTGGAGGACATAATGCTGAGTGAAATATCTCAGTCGTAGAAGGACAAATACTGCATGGTGCCACTGCTGTAAAATGGTGCTGATACTAGAATTAGAGTAAGACTGAGAAAAACTGGATAAATTGTGTATACTGCACTGAAACAGATGAGGGGGAGAATAATTTAAAAGCAATGTATGATAGGGTATTATGGTTATCACAAGAGTCCACAATTAAGGTTGTATAGTGGAGTGTACTTGGGAGAGCTGTGGGGGGATTGTGTACCAAAGAAAGAATTTTCCTTTTACTTTTCAAAGAGAGGAGTGAACTGGGGTAGGGGGAGGGGGGCTGAGCATGGAGAAAAGTGCAACATTGAATGAATGGAAATCCAAAGTCTCTGTAAATGTTCATTAAAATTATTAAAATCTAAAAAAAAAGGACATTATAGTGTAAGGGCCACTACTATACAAAGCTAAAGAAAGGATTATACACAAAATTAGTCTTGGAAGATAGGAAAAATGAGAAAGGAGAGAAAAAGGAGTAAAAATTAATAAATAGGTAAGTAGGATAAAGGGGAAAGCAGTACACTATAAAGGCTGATTAGACATAATGAATTAATCAGTGGTAATTAATATTATAAAGCAAAATATCATAAGAATAAAAATGAAAAACCGATATTTATTCAAATTTAAAAAAAAACTAACCCAGAAAAGATTTATCTGTGATAACATAGTTTAGTACTGAGAGCAGGCTATTTTACTAAAGTATCTTTCCAGATAATTAAAGCCTTGTTTTCAAGTGCTACATTTTTTAAAGTTTAATTACTGTAATAAGGTTTAGCAAGAAATATAAGAAGTCTTTTTTCACAGTCTTTAAAAATGGAAGTGAAACCTAATAGACATTGAGTGTGAACCAGTCTGGACAACCATCTGTGAGGGATAGGAAGGTGGATGGGGTGAAGGATGGGGTGAAGGACATACAGCAATTTCTAGCTTTGAGAAATTGTGCCTTAAGTTTTAATTTTAAGAGTCATATTTTAAAATGAGATGTATTGCGGTTTTCTCTAGAATTTTTAATCTTGGGCTTAAGAATGCATTAATATAGTTTATTATGTTCTAAGTAGAGACTATATAATTAAATATTCTTGATGACTATATTATAGTTATTATAATAATTACTGATACTGTTTAATTATTATCTTGGATCAAGATAGCTTTGGGTTTGTAGCTTTTTTTCCCCTCTCCCCAAATTATCTTTGTGCCAGCCTCTTGATGTTCTCATCCTTTGCCTTTATCTTTATTTGTTGTTGTTATGTGCTGTCGAGCCACCTGCAACTCATAGCGACCCTATGTACAACAGCTCTGAAGCCTGCCATGTCCTGATCCAGTCTCATTGACTCTGACACACCTACCTCCTTTGTTCCAGTTACTTTGTCAATCCATCTCATCTGGGGTCTTCCTCTCCCCTGCTGTCCCTCCACCCTTGCAAGCATGATATCCTTCTCTAAGAGCCAGTCCCTCCTGGCCACATGCCCAGGGTATGTGAGATGTAGCTTCAAAATCCTAGCCTCCAAGGAGAAAGTTGGTTTTGTCCTCTCCAAGACAGATCTGCATGTTTTCTTGGCAGTCCTTGGTATGTTCAAGACTCATCTCCAGCACCAAAACTAAAAGACATCAATTCTTCTGTCATCCTTAGTCATTGCTCTGATGCACAGCAAGTAATTGCAAAGATCATGGCCTGGATTAGGTGCACCTCAGTCTTTAGACTTGACATTGTTGCTCTCAGTACTCTGGAGAGGTCCCTGACAGCAGATTTTCCCAGTGCAATTCATCTTTTGATTTCCTGACTGCTGGTGCCAAGAGTGTTGACTCTGAAGCTGAGCAAGCTAAAGCTGTTAACAATCTCAATCTCTTCTCCATTTAACATTGTGCTGCCAGTTGGCCAAGTAGTGAGACTCTTGATCTTCTTGATGTTTAGCTTCAATCAATATTGAAGACTACAGTCCTTGATCTTCTGCAGCAAGTGTTTCAGGTCTTCCTCAGTTTCAGCAAGCAAAATTGTGTCATATGCATAACATAGATTGATGAGTCTTCTTCCAATCCTGATGCCACGTTCTTCCTCATAAAGCCCAGCCTCCTGAATTATTTGTACTGCATATAGATTGAAAAGGTATGGAGACAGGATGCATCCCTGACTCCTTTACTGATTTTGAAGCATGCAATTCTGAAGCAAGCATTCAGCTCTGTTCTGAAGACAAGTATAGGTTTTGCATGAGCATAATCAATTGTTCTGGGATTCCTATTTTCCTCAGGTTTCCTCAAGGATTCCTGTTTTCCACAATTTGTTGTTATCCACACAATCAATGCCTTTGCATAGTCAGTGAAACACAGATAGACATTCCTCTGTTACTCTTTGCTTCTTGCCAAGATCCATCTGACATTTGCAATAATGTCTTTAGTGCCAGGACCTCTGTTCAAACCTAGCTTGTATTTGTGGTGCTGATGTATGTTCCAGTCATATTTGGATAATCTTCAGCAGGATTTTGCTTGCATGTGATCTTAGTGATCTTATTTGATAATTTCTACTCTTTGTTGGAATGGAAATAAATATAGATCTCTTCCAGTCAGTTGGCCAGGTAATTGTCCTCTAGATTTCTTGCCACAACCTGGTGACCACATCCAGCATAGCATCTGTTTGTTGAAACATGTCATTTGGTATTCCATTAATTCCTGGGACCTTTTTTACCCCCCAAGTCCTTCAGAGCAGCCTGCACTTCTTCCTTCTTCTTTATTGCTTCTTGATCATATGCTGCTTCTTGAAATTCTTCCCTATCAGCCAGTTCTTTTTGGTACTCCTTCCATCTTTTTTTAATGCTTCCTGGATCATTCAGTATTCTGTCTATAGCATCCTTAAGTATTGCAACTCGTGGTTTAATTTGTTCTTTAGTTCCTTCAGCTTAAAGAAATGCCAAATGAGTTCATCCTTTTTGATTTTCCAACTCTAGATCCTTGCACATTTCATTACAAGCTGCCCTTTGAAATAGGCTGTGCGTGGCCCAGAAAACTAATCTTGTTAAATGACAGTGGTCATATTCATGTGCTAGCACTCCAGGGTAAAGTTATTTCATAGCTTCTGAATGAACTCTTTCAAGCTCTCCCTTTCTAGGACAGTGTTTGGAGAGTTTTCTAAAAGGCCGTCTTCCCAATTATGTGATGTTAACTTTAGATATTCAACTAGTTGAGTTTGGCCTTCCCCTATTTTGCTTGTAGTAAACCTAGAGATGGAACTACTATAGAAGTAATAATGTTTACACTATTGCTACTTTTCTAGGCTTATAGTACTCGACTGCCATTCTTTTCACCAGTTTATTAGATATTAAAAATCAAAACAAAAACTCCCTGTTGCTGAGTTGATGCTGACTTGTAGTGACCCTATAGGTCAGGTCAGAATAGAATTGCCTCATAAGGTTTCAAATCTGTAAATCTTTATGGAGATAGATTACCACATCTTTCTCCCTTGGAGCATCTGATATGTTAACACTGCTGGTCTTTTGATTAGCAGCCGAGGATGTGAGGGCTATCTGGCTGCTACATCTGTCAGCCCATTGATCGCGAGGGTTGATTCACAGCCAAGCACTTAACGATGATGCCACCAAGACTCCTTTAGTAGGCTTTATAGGAGATTAATTCTACCAGAAAGTAAATAAAGGCAGTTAAACCCTTGGCAACATGAGTTTTAAATTTTATCAATATTGTCGAAAAGCACCTGTTAAACTTGTGGAATGTTGCTGTTGAGAGGCTAATTGAGTTCTTTATAGGGCTATGTTTTCATGTTAACATAAGTGAAAATATTAGAAATAAGACTGTATTGAAGTCAAAATGACCTATTTTCCGTTTATTGACGAGTGATTCTCTATTATACTTACTAGTTGGAGTGCAGTGTTTGAAAGAGAGAATTGTGCCTGAAAGCTAAGCTTACATGACCATTTTCTATTGATATAGGCTTAATAGAAAAATCAAGTACACTTTACTCAAATTCAGCAGAGTCATTTCTACTTGGAATTTGCAAAGAATCGATTGGCTCATCATTAGATTTTCTTGGCCAGAGTTATGATGAAGACAAATCTATGGCAGACAGTCTAATTAGTAACTTCCTCAAAATATGTAATGGCGTCCTTGCCATTTCCAAAGCTCATGAAGAACAAGATGAAGAAAGCCATGATAACTGTAAGTAGACTTGCTGTTTTTATTAACTCATGTGAGTGATGTTTTCTGCATGTAACGTTTTGACCACAATGACTCTGTTACATCTTGGATGCATGTTTTGGGTTATATTTAATACCTCTTAATGGTATTTGCACATGAGTTCTTTTATCTGTTTTTATGTCTTCTGATGATTGTCGTTATTTTTTCAGTGTTCTCTTCTGATCGAGCAGCACAGTCACTTACTATCCAGACAGCCTGTGCTTTTGAGCAGCTTGTGGTGCTAACCAGACACTGGCTGAATGATTTCCTACATGGCACGAGCACAGCAAGACCTGAGGATGAACTGAAACAAGAAATTAAGAAACTGGGTGGCTACTTACAGCTGTTTTTACAGGTAAATTGATTTGCTGATAATCATATGAGGAATTCATTGGCTCATCAAGAATTTATTGACTTCCTACTGTCTGCCTCTTCCCTGCATGATCTATATTAGACGGAGAGAATTTTTAGAAGTCCTTTTTCTGTTTTGAAATTCTGAGACTTGTGGGCATTTAGAATTGATTTATTGAACCAAGACTTACATGGCTTCCCATAAATAGATGTTTTTCTATTAGTTCTAAAGGATTTACAAATATTTTAACTCATTCAATCCTCTTAACAACCCTAGAGGTGAGTATTATTAAGGGAGCTCTGGTAGTGTAGTCCATAAGCAGTTGTGCTGCAACGCAGAGGCACACAGTTTGAATCCATCAGTTGCTCCTCAGCAGATAGACAGACATACAATCTTCTCTCATGCATTTGACAGCCTCCAAAAGCCCTCTGGAGGGTCAGCTGTGGTGTTATGGTTAACATCATTTTATTGATGGGAAAATGAAAACAAAAAGGGGATAAGTAGCCTGTCCAAAGTCATGTAACTATTGAGCAGTAAATCAGGGCCAACACAATCCTGGGCCCAGAGCCCATGCTCTTTACCTTTGTACTGTGCAGGCCTTCAATTAGGGTATAGGGAAGAGAGACAAAGCTTTGTTCTGGTTATACGAGGAGCATCAGCTCAGGCTGGAATAGTTAAAGGCTTGCTGATACAGAGGCAAAGAAAGTTATTTTCCTCATTTGTATTTCTCATTTTTGGTCTGGCTATGAGTAATGAGTAAGAAAGGAACTTACTTTTCTGTGACGTAAAATCTGAAAATAGGCATTAATAGTCTTGCTGCACAAAGTCTTTAGGACCCAGGCTTTTTCCAGGCTCCCCCCCACCGCCGTGGCTAATAGCACCCCCACACACCCCCCCTCCCCTGCCGTAGCTAATAGCTCTCTCTGAATTCAACAGGATAGAAGATGTGAAAAGAAAGAAAGGATCATTCCCTCCTTTGATGGAAGATTCTATAACTTGCCACGTGACACTTGTGTTTATATATCATCGGCCAGAATTGCATCACATGATAATGTCTAGTTGTAATTATTTTGGGATAGTATAGTTTTTATTCTAAGAAACTGTGCTCCAAAACTTTAAAAATAAATCAAGAGTTCTGTTACTAGACTCTCATTTAATTTGGATATACAATCACCAATCATGAAAAGAACAGTCCAGAAAGTCATGTTGTTCTGGGCAAATCTGTTGTAACAAAACTCTTTAAAGTGGTAAAGAGCAGAGATGTCACTTTAAAAACTAAAAGAGGCAGGCTCTTCTAGAGAGCAGAGGTGGAGAACCAAAAATTAAGGCTGTGACATAGACTTCAGTCTGGAGAAGGAAGTTAGTTGAAAGATGGTCTGTGGTAGAAACATAAGAGTGAAGTGTATGCTTCGCTTTGCTGTCAGATTTTAAAGGCTGTACCACGAACAGTTGCCGTACAGTCGATCCTGATTCATGAGTAGAACTGCTTAATAGGGTTCTCAGTAGCTGATTTTCAGAAGTTCATCTTGAGGCTAGTCTACTGAAGTATATTTATGTGGGCTCTTGAACATCCAACCTTTTCATTAGCAATCAAGTATACTGCTCAGAGCCTCAGCTGTAGTAGAACCCATGAAAATAAAACCACTAGATGTGGAATTTGGAAGACCAGTGTTTGAACATAAAGCTGAATTAGTTTTCAACTAGAAAATAAAGATATAGCAATGCTGACAGTGACTAAGGATGATAGAAGAAGAATCGACGTCTTTGAGTTGTGATGCTAGACAAGAGTATTGAATATACCATGAACTGCCAAGAGAACAAACAGGGCTGTCCTGGAGAGGGTGAAACCAGGCTACTCCTTGGAGACAAGATTCTGAAGCTCTGTCTCACATACTTTGGGCATGTTGCCAGGGGGCCAGTCCTTAGAGAAGGACATCATGCTTGGAAGAGTGGAGGTACAGCCCAAGAGAGGAAGACCCTGGATCAGATGAATTGACTCGGAGACTGGGGTTTGGGGTAGATGTGTCAGAGACAAAAGTTTGGCTCAAGATAGAGCAGAGTTCAGAGCTGTTGTACATAGGGGCGCTATGAGTTGCAAGTGACTCAATGACACATACCAACCAACCACCACCATCATCTGGCAGGGTTGCTGTGAAAATCGGATGAGTTAATGTTGAATCTGCTCTTCGTAGGGCTACAATGAATCATAATCAATGCCTCAGCATATAACAATAGCTAGAGTAACTAGTGTATAGTTTCATTTCCTCTTTCTATTTGGTAAGAACACTTTATATTTAATTACTGGATCTCTACCCAAAGCCCAATGAGAAATATTTATATAAGGAATCAAAGGATTTCAAGATAAAGTTAAGCTGAATTCAGGAGAGATTTACATAGTTAGGCAGGATTTAACTGATTGTAGTTTCCACTTATGTATGATTTGGCAATGTTTGCCTTGTAACAACCAACACTGGCCTACCATTGTCCTTATGATTTTCTGCTGTCAAGGATCTATCCAAGTGGACCTATCCAAGGATGCCAATTTAGAGACTAAGGTGTGCCTGCGCCAAGCCTCACTATTTTCAGTTGCTTCTGTGCACCTGAAAGTTGGACAGATGAATAAGGAAGACAGAAAAATTGGTACCTTTGGATTGTGGTGTTGGAGAAAATACTGTATATCTCATGGACTGTCAAAGTAACGAACAAATCTGTCTTGAAGAAAGTGCAACCAGAATGTTTCTAGAGGCAAGGATAATGAAACTTCATTTCACTTACTTTGGGCATATTTTCAGGAGGAATAAGCCCCTGCCAAGAGACATCAGACTTGCAAAGGTAGAGGGTCGACAAGAGAGGAAGATGCATTATGAGATGGATTGATGCGGCAACTATCGCAGTGGGCTTGAACATGAAAGAGATGATGAGGATGGTGTAAGATAGGGCCAGGTTCAGATCTATTGTTCATAGAGTCGCTGGGAGGCACACTGGACTGGATGGCATCTGGCACCAACCTTGTAGCAACACAAATAGCATATTCCAGAAAGCAGGCCAGGATAAGTACTGTGAAGAGCCATTAATGTGTCAGGTAACTTAGAGAAGAAAATCTTAGGCATTTTCCCTGCCTCCTGGCTATCAACTTTGGTGTACACATGAAAAACCTTTTGGTTGGGGAAGTTCCCCCCCTTCTCCATCTATGCTTATAAAATTAAAATATTTTTACTAAACATCTCTTGAATAATTAGGATATGAAAACTTAAAAGGCAAAAGAGTCATTACAACTTTTTTCTTTGATATTCACTTGTCAATTCTGTATTCTATCTAGTAAGTTGCTTGCTTGCCTTCTGTATCCTATTAGTGTGGAAAGTCTTTGAGAGTAGACTATCCTTCATTCTGTTACCTTTAATAGCTATGAGGTTGCCTGCTTTATAGTCCTGACTGAGACTTTTATGAAGTGTGGCCACTATATGAAAGAATGCAGAGTGTATTTTTTTCTGATTGTGTTTGTCTTTTCTAACGTCCTTTGTAATCTCATGTATCTGATATACTGGTTCATTTTTATCTTACAGGGATGTTGTTCAGATATTTCATCAATGGTAAAAGAGGCTCAAAAGAAAGTGCTTCAAGTTGTACGGCAGGCTGTAAAGTATGTGGGACAGCTAGCAGTTTTGAAAGGGAACAAGATCCATTTTCTGGACAACATTCCCAGCCAGGCTGTCAGTCTCCAGGTAATTTTACAAGCCTTCTCCTGAGGAACAGCAGAGGTTTCTGATAGTAGTTCAATTCACCAGACTTGACAGGTTCTTTTTTTTGTTTCTCAAAATAGCATGTGAATCTAATAGTTGGGCAGTTAAGATTTAAAACCATTTCCTTCTAGCTGCTCAGATGTACCAGATGATTTTAGAACTCTCTTTAATCAAGGAAGTAAAAAATGGATAATGGCAGTCCATGAGCAATAGAAGATTAGCTCAGGCAGTCAGCACACAAATTCTGATTCTAGAAGATGAATATATGATACTGTACATATTTGTGTTATTAAAAATATAATAATATAAAAGAATGTGTAACTGTTCTATCCACAGAGTGTCCTACCTAAGATGATGAATATTTTTTACAACATGCTGAATGTGAAATCAGGAGCTCTGGTGGTGTACCTAGCCCCTAACCAAAAGGTGAATGGTGTGAACCACCGCTGCTCCGCAGAAGAAAGATGTGGCAATCTGCTTCTGTAAAGATTACTGCCTTGGCAGCCCTGGGGCGCTCACACCTGGTTCTGTAGGGCTGCTGTGAGTTGGAATTAACTCAACAGCAACACATTTTGGTTTTCATATGTGGAATATTAAAATATAGATGCACTAAGTTGCTCTCCTTAGAGACTCTTAGTTCTGATTCCAGCTATAGCTGAACTTTGTGAACTTGGAATGCATTATGGTTCTAAATTTAGTGGAAATTTTATCTTAGTTATTTGATAATTAAAGAAATATTAGGGCAGAATTTGCCTACTAATGCTTAAAAACTCCTTCTAGGATGAAATTACAGATGCAATTTACGAGGGTGTTGACTTGGGAATGAAGAGTCTCTTGGATTCTGGACTGGAAGAAACAAAAGCCCTTCAGCATGAACTCTCCAGGCAGTGTGCAGAAAATGAGGTAAGATGAGTGAGTGAAAGAATGTTGTACTAGCTACTACACAGGGCTGATTTTGTAAAAATAACTTAACTCCCAAACAGTAGTGCAGCTTAATTAGCAAAAACTATGTGCCCTGAACACTGCTCTTTGAAGGAAATATTTATATGGGATCAAATTGACAGTAGCTCAAAATACAAGACAGGAACCTTAGAGAGCAGTGAATTTGTGTTGGTTAACTATTCCAGGAAAAATTCAAAAGGACAGTGAAAATGGTTGTGTAACTCAAAGAATACAGTTCGTGTCAAGGAATTGTACATGTAGAAATTGTTGAATTGGTGTGTTTCCAACAAAAAGAACTACATTTATTTTTTTTTTTAATGGGACAAAAAAAACACCCGAAAGCATTATTTAACTCAATGAATTAGAGAAATTTTAACGTTTTTCTATTTTGCGTTATTACTTTTTCTGGAAGATAAGCTGATGATATCATGACACAGTCTCACGTTAGCCTTACGTTAACTGCACATTTTGTTAGTATTTTGCGAATTCCTGTCACAGAACTCAGCCTGGATCAGTTCCTAAACAGAGTTGGATGACAGAGTGTGGGATGTGCTGGTGACACCTAGTGTTCACTGTTGTAATTTTCTGGCTTTTCTTTCTGGTGAGCTCTGGTGGCCTCGTCCGCAGGGAGTGGTGCAGCTAACCGTAAGGTGGACTTCTCGGGCAGTTCATTTCCACCAGCAACTCCAAGGGAGAAAGATGAGCAGTTTCCTCCTGTGTGATTCCAGACGCCAAACCCGCCTGGAGGCTCAGCTCCCATTGGTTCGAACTTGACTGCTGTGGGTTTTTAAGCTATTTCTTTAGGTCTGTACTTTCCCACCTAGGAATGGAAACTAACACTTTTTTTAAAAAAAATCTCAAATTTTCAACTGAATATGTTAACAGGGTATTGAACCAGTGATGGATTGAGTAATTTGAGTATGCCGCCTTCCCACTGCCCTGGCAAACTTGCACTGCAGTACTGTCTTACAGGTGGACCTTGACACTAGAAACCTGGGCTTAAAATGTGGCTTAATCACTTTCCTGCTTTCATTTGCCAAGTTACTTGACCCTCTATTTTTTTATTTGACACCTATAATAATACCTGTTCTGCTGGCCCTCATGAACTATTCATTGAATAATTTGCCTCGACAATTGGTAGATTAGGTGCTTTGCATAAAATATGGGTGAACCCGATAATTTTACAAGCTAGGAGTTACTGTTATTTCAGTGACTTTTGAGAGTTGGAGTACCTTGCCCAGTTACCAATAATAAAGCCCTAGACCATTATTTTTTTATTCTCTGTGTCTGACTCCAGGGCCCCTGTTGGTGCTGTGGATTAAGTGTTGGGTTGGAAACCATAAAGCCTGGAGTTTGAGTCCCCCAGTGATCATGAGGGAGAAAGATGAGGCAGTCTGCTTCCAGATTTAAAATCTTGAGAATCCACTGAGGCAGTTTTCCTCTGTCCTGCAGGGCCAACTGTCGGAATCACCTCTACTACAGTGGGTTTGGTGGGTTGTCATACTCCAAATTCATCATGTTACATAAGTGGAGTTTGTAAATCATTGCTCATGCTTTAATTATTTTTTTTTTCTCTTGAGCATAATAGTAAGTGGAGTGTGGATACTGGGAAAATGAAATGTCAGATATTGTAACAGTGGATTTCAGATCCTTTTCTATTCTACAATTTCATTATAATCAGTTGTTAACAGCCATCTCTTACCATCTTCATTTCTCTTGCTGGGGGCAGAGATTTAATCTGAGTGGCACAGTGACATTTAGCTTCTTGAACTCATTCCTACCAGGAATTCAGCTCATCTAAGTATGCATTCATTCATCTAGGAAAGCAGACGTGGCTTCATCCCTCTGAGAAGCTGTTTCCAGGAAGGCATAGAATACCTTTGACTTAATTTTCCCCTCCTCTTTTCATTTTAGGGAAACCTTGGCATTAACGTACGTACCGTCACCTTAACCGTAGAGAAATTTTCCATGAAAGCCAGTGGGGTTTTCCATGTCTTTCCCCTGACTATTGGGTTATATAGATTTCTCTCTGTCCAGGATAACTGCTCTCCATAGTTGGGAAAAGAAATAGAACATTAAGTTGCTCTCCTGCTTCCTTACACACTTACCTGAGCCTCACTTGTTCCATTTTAAAAATGGGAGATGATCATGAAATTGTCTTGAGGATCATAGGCTATTAAGAAACAATGTGTATGAAAATACTGAAGATAGTACCTGGTAAACCTCTTGTTGCTCACTTGCTTTTTTTCTTTATGGGTATCTGCCTCTTCTACTCTGTAGATTTTTTTTTTTAACCTAAAAACCTATTTTAAAGGAGTTCATGCTTTCACTAAGACAAAAATTGACATAATGCTGTTTTGGTAGATATTTGCACTCTAGAACATAACTGAGGAGAGGGGCACACTGGACTATTATTAGAGTTCATACATATCACCACTGCCATCTCAGACTTGGTTTTGCTGCATCGTTTCTCACTGAAACACCTCATCTGTCATTAGTTGTAATGCAGAATTTCTGCTGTAAATGCACAAGAGCACAGAGAAAATGAATGGAAATGGAGATGTGTGTGATTATGCCTTGTAAGTTGTAAAAGCAGTGTACTAATGTTAGCTTTGGTATTATTTCAGGAAATTAAAAGGAAAGTCTTGTTTTGTATGCAGCTTAGCTTACCTCCTCCTCCTTTCACCCTCCTTTCACTCATTTTCTTTCTACTGTATGCCATAGCTGTACTCTTGTTCATGGTGGGTTGGTAGCTTGTCCTAATCATAAACTCTTAAAATTCTACAGAAAGAAAAAGAATACCCCAAAATTAGAAAACAGACTCAAACATAAGTAATGAGAGGTTACAGTTTTAAACCTGGAGTGAAGGGGAAAAGAATAATAATTTGGATATTCATATCTGAGCACATAGAGGAAAGTTGTGTTAGACCTAGGAAGAACACTGTTAAGATCAGTTAAATAAGTGACAGGATCTCCTGGTAAAAATTAAGCAAGAAAGCACTGTAGGGGGCAGCATTGAGCAGTACAAGTAAAACCTTAGCTCTTAGTGGTTTTCACCCTGGCTGAGTCTGAGGTGTCAGGACTCAAGGTCAGACACCAACCAACCTGTGCTGAATCTGCCCCCTTATTTGTAAACTGAGGAGAATAGCAAATGTAGTTACTGAGTTACATAATAAGATGTACGTAAATTTCCTAAAGTATAATATTTGTTTTGATAAATTTATTACCCCACTCCCTTCCAAACAGAAGATATAGAAATTCCATTTCTGTAAATATTTCAATCCTGTGTATATTTAAGGGACCTCTGGTGGCCTAGTGGTAAGAAACTGCACTGCAATCCCAAAGGCACGAGGTTCGAATCCACCAGCTGTTCCATGGAAGAAGCGTGGACAGTCTCCTCCTGTGTGATTTACTGTCTCTGAAAACCTGCTTAAAGGGTCAGCTATGGGTTGGTTCCAAGTCAGTGATACTTAAAAACATACATATTAATATGTCAAATCCTATTATAAAAGTGAACATTGGGAAACTACCTTTATTTAAGATGGAATTGTATAATTTATTTTGAAAGCAATTCTGCTTATATGATTTTGTTATTCTTGAGCTATTTAATTACAGTTTCAGATATATAACCTTAGTCTTCTGACTTTTACGTTATAATTCTTTCCTTTTATCTAAGCCCATGTAATTTTAGGAGTTTTATACTTACAATTGATTGTTTATATGTTTAACCTTTCCTATAGGTTACCAAACAGATGAAAGCTGATGCCATGGGATTGACTAAATCTCTTGAAAATGTCTTTACTGAATGGACAGTGGTAAGAAGAGAAGCTTTACATGGTTTTTAACTTTCATTTTCTTTTGTATATTTTATTTTGTTTCTATTCCTTTTTTATCCTTAGGTAGAGACTCTTGTGCCGTCTTAATTGAAACATATATAGTAATTTGCTAGCTATTTCCTCTTGGATATTGTAACTTACCTTAAAGTAAAGGGTAAGAGATTATATAGAAATTGACAAATATGTTTTATCTGCTTCTCACATCTACTGGCTTAGTTACTGTGATTATAGTGCTTGGATAGTCATTGTAGCCTGCAATTAAACTGTACTTCATAATCAGCTCAAAGATCTTAAAATGGAATTGAATTAGACAAATTCTTTTATTCTCACATCATGGGAGATAGAAGAATGTATACCTTTTACCATTGAGTCATTCCTGGCCCAGCATCCCTACAGGACAGAGTCGGCCTGCTCCATCAGGTTTCTAAGGTCCTAATCTTTCCCCACAGAGTGGATAGCAGGTTTGAATGATGGACCTTTTAGTTAAACCCTTAACCACTGCATTGCCATGGCTCCTGGATATGTAAATGATATATGATCAGTGTTGTAAGTAGAAGAATAATTTCTATGACTAAAAATTTATTTTAATAACTTAGAGATGTTATGAAGATGAACTCTTAAAAAGTTATTAATAAGAATTTCTCTTTTTAATAATGAATAGTAAATGCTACTGATGTTTCATTTTCATGTCATCAGTAAGACTTTGATTTAAAATTAATTGAAAATTCTTATTTCTTTTGAAAAGAAATACATTTGTCTTACATTTGTTAATACATTTGTCTTGTTTGTTGGAATAAAGTTAAGCATGGGAAAGGAAATCCAAGCTCACTATCTTAAAGATAAAATTCTGACTATATTAAATCATTTTAACTAAGCCTTGTTGTCATGTAGCCTCCTATGTAATTTAAATATTTATTCACATAGAAAAGTTTCCGAATTCAAGGACGACAAGAAAACCCTGGATATCAAGATCTGAAGAAGGTGCTTGATCTTGTCCCAGAATTCTTGAAGTTAAAACATTGCCTAGAACAAACTGTTCAAATGACTATTTCTGCCTTGAGAGGTATGTATTCAAGTTGAATTTATAGTCAATCAGAATTGTATGTTTTAAGAAGTCTACACATTCTTCGCTTTCATATCTAGTCTTAAGTCTTTTACTGAAGCCTAACTAATGCATCTTCATTGACTTAACTTTTCAATATAGGAATCTGACAAACTTGGCTCCTCTCTTACTGACCTGGTTAGTTTCCAAAGAGCAGATCATCAAGCAAAAATTAGCATTAAGCCAAAATGAAAGTTAATCATATGAGATCACAAACTAGAGGATGGCTGCACCATTACATAACCACCCAACCCCTGAGAATCATGGCCCAGCCCCGCTGACACATAACCTTAAACCTTAATCATTGTTGCCCACATTAAGTAGTACCATACATGTGTCATTAATGTGCATAATAGATAGTAGATTTTTTATTGTTTCATAACTGCGAAATGCTAGGTAAATAGATAGTTGATAAGTGAAGAATAGGTGTAATTAAGTTCCGTCCATACATATCTGGGTGTCCTGGTGGAGCTCTGGTGGCATAGGCTGTAGGGAGGTGCACCGCTAACCCGGAGGCTGCACCTCTCGGCCACTTTTAATCCACCGGTGACTCCACAGAAAGAAGGGGGGCAGTCTCCTCTTGTGTAGTTTGCAGCCTCTGAAAACCCTCTGCAGGTCCAGCTGTGAGTTGGTTTGTACTCAATAGCAATGAGTTGAGCTGAGAATCATATAGTGGTAATAAATACCTGACAGAAACAGGTAGGGTTCATTCACTTTTTCCTCTTCTTTTTGCATAGGATCCCACAGTGACGTAAACCTGCTCAAGAGTTGTGTTGAAAGTATTTGCAGCGTGGTCAGTGATTTTCAGAATTACTTCAGTTTACACTCTACTTCTGTCAACAGCAAGGGGAAGCGAATACCTCCAGTTGACTCCAGGGAGATAGAATCTCTCACCACGTCGCTCCTCTTAGGTTTTGAATCAGAAGATAGACTAAATTTGTTGAAACCCCAGGCAACTTATAATCAAAGTACTGGAGAAGAACAGCTTAAATCAAGTAGGACTGAAGCCAGTAGGGAAAAAGGTGTACCAAAGCGAGTCTTTGAACTTGCTGAACTGCACCATCTTCAAGCACCTGGAAATAAGGCACATGGATCTTAACATTGTTCTGGCTACAATGACCTGAGCTCATTTACGGTCTCGCCCCCAAAAAAGAAAGAAATAACATTTTATCATAATACCAAAAGCCAGTTTTCAGTAGGCAAGTCAAATCCTGCAGGTGGAAAGATCAGTTCTTTAAAAGCAATATTGCCCAACAGGCAGTGCTCACCATCACCCTGCAAGATTACTAGGATTCATTTGCAGATTACTCATATTCTCAAATTAAGTTAAAATGTTAAACTATTGCCTTAATTTGATCCTACAAAACAGAACTCCATTACTTCATTGTAGATACCAATTTGTGTGTGTGTGTGTGTGTTTGATTTTTTAAAACTGTGCAACACAGTAAGGATCTCAAGTTTTTATCAAATCGTCTTCCCGACTTTCCATGGCACATTGTGAACAAATAAGTATCATCAAGACGCAGTCTCTGATGTCCTGAGCCCGATCCACAGCTGAGTGTGATCTAGGCAATAATGACTGGTTTTTAAATTTTATTCATAAAACCCCCATCGTAAGACATAGGTAGCATGTATACTAGCCCGCTGGTACTCATATTTCAGTAGCCGCTTATAATCTGAAAAGAATGATATTTACATACAGACCTTTAAATAAACTATTTAAAATGACAGACAGTTGCCTTTTTATGCAAAGTTTGAGATTTGACGATGAAAGAAAAGCTGCCTTGGTTAAACTTGTCTTGACGATTCTGCTCTCATCCCAGTTATCTACCAGAGGGGAGAAGGAATAGGCACAAATTAAACTGATCAAATTCCACTGATGAGCAAACATTACTTACAAACAGACTAGTGGACTAACCAGAGGCTAACATATCAATGTTAAAGATTAACCTGTAAAACTCAAGGCCATGAGAAACTAGAGAAACGATAGTCATTCCTTTGGTTCTTAAATGTCTAATTTCATCCTGTTGTCACAATTTTGGTTAACATGCTACATATTGAGAAACTTCCTAAATGCACATTCAGATACTTTCAAATAAGGACTCCCTATGCTAATAGTACCCAGTGGAAGGTTACCAATATACATGGGCCTCTTTAAGCTTGTTTCTTGCTTTCTACATTCTGGTCATTGTAGCCAGAACAATGAAGATCAATCCATGTGCCTTATTTCCAGATGCTTGGAAATGGTACAGCTCAGCAAGTTTCCTTTTATTGTCTTTTTTTTTTTGCATTTAAACTTATTCTTTCTGAAGTTCTTCATTGCATTTTCGATAATCAATGCTCTACCAAAGGTGCTTTTATTATCAGGTTTTGTGAAATAGCTGTACATGATAAGGATTTCTCCTGAAGGTTGCACTTCTTTCAAGAACTTCCTGCGGTATCAAAATGATAATTTTCATCATAATGTTCAATATTTAATCCTTATTTTCTCCTTTTAAAAGTCATGACTTGGTCAGAAACTTTTTAGTGCCTTTGTAAACTTTTATGTATATATATTTATACTCTTAAGTAAATTGTTATACTGTATTTGAATGAATGGTAAAATTTCTTTGCTATTAGTATCATGTGTCCTAATAAAAAAATGCCTTCATTAAAAGTGGTCCACATCAGAATTGTTTCTTAGTCTAAAGGTTTGTTTTTTTTAATTGAGATTTTTATTTACTTCATTATTGACACAAAATTGTTTTAAAAGCTCTGTTTGCCTCTTTGCTTTTCTTCTTTCTTTCCTCTGGTGGGAGAGGGACCAGTGTTGCACCTTAGGTGGGCACTCACAAACTTTATTTTCCTTTTAAAAATATTTTATATTGGTTTGCATACAAAATGAATATGCATTGTGTTTCACATACTCTTTCATTCACGAGTGTTTCATACTATAAAAATAGCAAGGGCTAAGTAAGGACAGCCCTATCCGACCTTTACCAACTCCACAAAGGGCAGCTGTTGTTGTTAATGGCATCAGCAACACAAAACCAATTCCCGTGAGGTGAAACATGTTCCCCACACTCCCACACCTCTTCCTACTCATCTCAACACTAATCTTAGTGCTTTACTGGGCTCAAAATCTGATACAATAGCTCAGAGACCACAGAACCATATCGGGGAAGTTGAAAGGCTGTACGTTAGATTGGAAGCTAGATTGAACCACTAAAGTCAGGACAGCTTCTGCAGTCAAGGTTGTGTCATCTGCATAACCCAGGTTTTGATGAGTCTTTCTCTAGTCCTGATACTATATTCTTTTTCACATCATTCACCTTCTCTAATGATTTGCTCAGTGTACAGATTCAATAGATACAACCCTGATACACACCTTTCCTGAATTTAAACATTTCCAGTATTCCCTTGTTATGTTCCGTGCTGATGTACTGATCCAGCCATTGTTTAATCATCTTCAGCAAAATTTTCTTTTCTACGTGCTGTTAGAGCACCTTTTTTCTCTTCCTGTCAGTTGATGAGGTGACTGTCTTCCAAATATCTTGGCATCAGTTGATGAGGATATCCTGAGCTTTTTCTGTTAGTAGTGCTATATCATAATTGTCCATTTGTGACTGACTGACTTCACTCAACATAATTTGTTCTAAATTCATCCATGTTGTGAAGTATTTTACAAATTACTGATTTGTGTTTGTGTGCATGAAGCATAACACTCCATTGTGTGAACATACCAGTTTCTTTAGCTGTCTATCTTTTGATACTGATACATGGGTTGTTTCCAACTCTTTGTTATTATAAATAATGCTACATTAAACGTGTGTGTGAGAACGTTGGTTGGTGTTGCAGCTTTTATTTATTTGGTGCCTATGCCTAGTTTGATAATTACATATAGAGATATAACCATCACCCAAAACATTTCTATCACTATAGAAAGTATTTATTTTTGCAATTTGACCTTTAAAAATTTTTTCATTTTAATTTTTTTCTACTAGTTTATTTACAAAATTCGAATATAAATTCAAACAAATTCTTTCAATTTCCCTCACCAACCCACCCATCAAATTGTACAACCCGATGATTAATCACCCCTTCCCCCTGCACATCCACATCCCTCTGCTTCCAGCCTCTCCCACCTCTCCTGGATCCTTATACTCATTCTAGTCACCACCAGATCTGGAGTGGGTAATTTGCACACCTGCTGCCTACAATAACAGTTATATACAGTATTTATCCTTGTGGGACTGAGTTAGTTCACTCAGCATAATGCTCTCTAGTCCCTCCCCAGTTAGGTAATAATTTACAAAGTTATTCCTCCTACGTACTGCATAGTATTCCATCATGTTAATGTACCATAATTTCTCAATTCCATATGACCCAGCTATTCTACTACTTGGAATATTCCCTGAGAAAACGAGAACTGAGGCACAAACAGATTTGTACACCAATATTCATAGCAGCATTATTCACCATCGCAAGTACATGGAAACAGCTCAGATGTCCGGTTAACCACAAACGAATGAATTCAGAAAATCTCTTGTATCTCTTTGCCATTGGTTTTCTTACTAACTCTGATTTCAATCAATAGATCCATTTCACTTGTTCTTTTTTTTTTTTTTTATGAGAAAAGTTTCTATTTAGAATTAGCCAGCTGGACTCAGCTTAGATGATCCCAGTTTTGTTGGCAACATCCAAAGCGTCACATAGGCCTTCTTCTCTCCATCAGGCCTAATCAAAGTGTTGACCTTAGCCACATCAGTGTCATAGAGCTTCTTTATAGCTTGTTTGATTTGGTGCTTGTTGGCCTTGACATCCACAATGAACACAAGTGTGTTGTTATCTTCTGTCTTCTTGATGGCTGACTCAGTGGTCAGGGGAAATTTGAGGATGGCATAGTGGTCAAGCTTGTTTCTCCTGGGGGTGCTCTTTCAGGGTTATTTGGGCTTGCCTTCGGAGTCTCAGCATCTTAGGCCACCAGAAGGTGGGTGACTTGCAGATTTTTTAAATTTATTATTTTTTTTTTTTGCCTGTGGATGCCCTTCAGGACTGCCTTCTTGGCCTTTAATGCCTTTGCTTTGGCTTCAGTTTTGGGAGGAGCAGGGGCTTCCTTCTTCACTTTCGGCACCATCTTCATAAGAAGGACATTTCACTTGTTCTTAAACCCCCAATAAATGGAACTGTACAGTGAGTATTCTAATTTATGTATCTGGTTTCTTTCCTCAGTAAAATGTTTTGCTAGTCATCCCTGATATTGGGTTTGTCAGCAGCTTTTTCCTTTTCACTATTCAAGGGAATTCCATTGTATAGCACCCCTATCTGTTGACGGACACATGTATTTGTCTTATTTTAAGTTGTATCTCATTTTCTTTATTTTAGCTTGCCATTTAGTTGAAGTTCAGCTCTCAGAATTTAAAAGAGGCTCTGCTTGCATTTCCCCCCTCCAGACTGTAAGTAATTTCTGTTCATAATCTCTTTTAGTCCTCCCCAGTCAGCAGGATGTAAGCTGCTGGCAGCCCTGTCATATTCTTCTCTTTCTCTTCTGGACACAGCCCAAAAAAGGCTCTGTTTCCTTTCTCTGATCTCACCTATTTTGTTGCCCAGAATTGGACAACATTTTGCTGCCCAGAATTTTTTTTAAAACCTTTCAAAACAGCATCTTTCACACCCCCGGTGACTTCCCCAGGTGGTGGCGACTCCTTCAGTTTTTACCTTTTTAGTGTGTTGGTTTTGGGGGCATCAAGTCACTTTCAACTCAGTGCAACGCCATGAGTTAGAGTAGACTCACTGCCTCAGAGGGTGTTCCTTTAGAGGAGCAGGTCATGTCGTCCTCCCATGGAGCTGCTGAGTGACTTAAACTACTGACCTCAGGTAGTCATGAAATGCTTAATGTGTGTGTGTCATCAAGGGTTCTTATTTTTCCCCCTAAAATTTATTTTCTTGTCATTGTTGGAACTAATAGACAGCAGAACATACAAACAGTTCAGCAGTTCTACATGTTCAGTAATATCAACCGTATATTTCAAGTTATGCAACCCTTCACACCCTCATTTTCTGAGTTGTTCTTTCCCCATGACCCTCTAAATAGCCTACTTAATCTTTCAGGTTACTGTG